ATTCTGCCATTGGACTACCTCGAACTTTGCCCCCAGCAATGCAGAGTTTCCTTTTCACTACTATCAGTCTTGTAGATTCTTGGTAACGGGTGGATGTTGTTGCTTTTACTTCCCATTTCTTCTTTTGAGGATCAAAACACGACTAACGTTTTGAAAGCATCCTCATTTTTCTCCAGAACACTCACTTTTGAATTTAAAACCACTGCACCACTTATGTTATTGTCTGTTTGTACTGTAGGGTGAGGAAATGCTTGCCACTGCCGTTTAGTGAAACTATACCTTTGACAAGCTTGATAATCGTTTGCACTCACTGCGTACATCTACTCATCTGTAACACAGAGATCAGTGGTATTATTACCTGAATGCGTATCTGTATCATAACGGTAGATGCAGTTACCTAAGGAGTCCTGTGCGGCAATCATCAACTTATCGCCAAGAGACACTGCGCAGAAACCACAAGTTGCCCCAATTCGCGGGGAGGCGACCGGCAAAGTCTTCCAAGTTTTGGCCTCTACGTCGAAATACTGCATTCTCTTCTTAGGCAAGATAACCACAAGAACCTACTGGGGAATTATAATTTTATGTTATAAAATGAACAAACAACTCCATAATTCCATAAACTTTTTGGCTCCCCTCTCTCTTACAGTGGAAACTACAAACTGCTTCTTTCAAAATGAAGGAAACCACAAAATTAGTATCAGAAAAGTAAGGAACACAACTGAATGGCATAAAAAAATACACGCAAACGAACACCCAGAGAAACAAACTAAAACGAAAATGTTCCAGAATAGAGAGGATAAATAAAGTAGGATTTGAAAGCCACAAACTTAACAAAATTTCACCAGTTTTCAAAATAGAATGTTCTTACTGGGTTCTTTGATCGTGGCTTCATTTGCTCCACTGAATACTAAGGTTTATAGGTTGGCCTGTGTTTATAGATTGCTGCCTCGTGGACCTGCTTGTAAATTTCAGGAATTTGTTGCATCTCCTCAGAGTTAAGGACGTCAATCACAACTCCAATATCAACCAGCCCCTGACGAACACCTCCGATAACTTCAGCTGCACTGCCATCCTCTCTTCCTTCTTGTAGTTAACCCATTGTATCACGGATTTGAAGACAAACGTCTCAGAAGGTGCACAAACATCTGTATACATCTTGGCTACGTTACAATCTGCAGCGTGTTGCAGATCTTTCAGCCCATAGCTAAACGCGATTTCCCAGATGCGACAGTAAGTTTCAAAGTCCAAACGAATATTGACGAACTCGGTCAGCAGGAAATTACAACACTGATGAACAGTACTTGCGAGTTGAAGATGATCTGCGGCAGTTCGAACTTTGGACACGCTTTCCTCGTTTACAAGAAGATCTCCAGTGTAGATGGAGTCCAGTATGATCTTTAAAACATCTGGTGAAATGCTTTCATCTTTCAGCTCGATCACTTCCTGGCTTAACTCCTTCATTCCATCTGTAAACATGGCGTAAAAAATAATCGAACGTCGATGAATTGACTTTCGTTACGAAACTGAGCACATTTCGACGGGAGAATATCGGCATGAGCAACCATTTTACTGAAGAAAATGATTCTACTGTACTTCAATTTCAACAACAGATCAGACAGTGCCTTGCGGCAATACGGTGTTTAGGCGATCGCGTGATCGCGTGACCGCTACACGCCAACGTCATCTCGTTACCTTCATCACCTTTATCCTCCTTCTAATCTAGTGGCAGTTTCAAACATTTCAATTTGATTTCTCCTCTCAATATCAAGCAGACAAATGATGAAAATAAAGAAAAATATCATTTAGGGGATTATTAGTTGATCCAATACCAACTTCTTGGAGATAATATCATAAGAGTTGTAAGAAAGACAGTAAGGAGAATTATTAATGAGATCATGGGAGTGAAAGGGTTAAACTACATTGACGACCTCAGCAGGTACACTGTTCATAAATCGCAGTTCAGATGGGAATGACAGACTAAAAGGCGATGTAGCATCAATGTAAAAAATCATCTGGAGGCTGAGTCAAAGGAAAATCTGTTTAATACAAATTATTGTGCTATAGTGTAGACAAAAGAGTAAGGTATCGTGAACTTTTCTATCCAGCCTTGAAGGATATTTACATGAAAACTGACAAAATTACTCTAGCAAAATTGTAAATAAAATAATAACAAGCCTAATTAACCCCTGCACTGATAGGAGCCGATATCTTCTTTAACTGAAGAAACAATGGATTTTTAGGTTCCCTTCTTACTTATGAAGCTGATAATTGTAATCAAAGATTATAGGAATTGTTTGAGGTTGGATCAACAGACTACTCATATTTGACGGTGAATGAACTCACTCAGTTTTCGTATATTCTCTCTTTAACGGAAAATAACAAAGAACTGCACATTGTTCAATTTTTCCTAAGTTCTCCCACTCATCCAGAGGAACAGGATACAACTCCCCTGGTGAAATTCTAATCCCACTGTCAATTGGAAATTTATTGATGATGAAGTATACCCTCCCTTCTATTTCCACTGCACCGAGATTATTGGCGGGAATATGTTCTTGTTTAACAACAGACCAGGTGTTGGTTTCCTCACTATACACTTCTACTGGTGTGGGATAATTGTGATTTGGAGTACATCTGCCCCCAGCAACAAAGAGTTTACCATTTACTTCGAAAAGACTGGATCCAAAATGAGGTTGGCAAGTTCTTGCCTTTTCTTCCCACTCATTCTTAGCCGGGTCGAAGCAATGTAATACTGCTGGTTGATACTTTCCTCCCGTATGAGACGTATTGCCACAGAGGACAAATATTGATTGATGAACTATTGCTCCAATATTGCAGGCCTGATAATAAGGATTTGTACTCAGTTTTGAAATGCTTTGCCACTGCCTTTTGGCAATGTTGTACCTTTTAGGAACCTGATCTAAACAAGAACTAATAGCATAAATATAGTCTCCTAGAATACACAGATTGTTAACTGCCGCATATCCATTGGACGAAATCTGCTTCATCTCCCAAACATTACTCTTTGTGTCATAACGATAAAAGAAAAAGCCGCGATCCGGGGCTGGTCCTGTGACAAACAAGGTGCAGCCTACAGAGATTGCAGAATCGCAACGAGCCGCCTGGATCGACGGTACTGTCGATGGTAAGTTTTTCCATATTTTGCTTTGGAAATCAAAATACTTCATTTGAAGCTTAGGAAGAACTGCAATCAGCGCCTGAAATGAAAGATGAACGTCGCCAATCAAATCTAATTGTTCCTCCTTCCCACTAACCAAGAGCCTGTCACACGTTAGATGTCTACAAATAATCAGGTCCTTTTTACCTTTTTGATAAATTGGGAACATTGTGTTTGTCACATTGACCTAATAAAAATTTAATTGAGCTGATTATATCTCAAAGGATCGTGAGTTGTTCACGGTCCAATTCTTCAACGAGGCTGCTAGTTATTGTAAATGTGAATCAGTAAAAAAGCATTTACTCACTTGACTTGTTGATCTTGGTTTAGCTCTTTCCTCAGTAAACTTGGACAAATTAGAGGGCATGTTGTTATGGACCAATGCTTCATAAACTTGTTTGTGAATTTCAGGATCTCTCTGCATCTCTTCTGTGTTCAGTTCTTCAAGCACAACTCTGATGTCCACCAGCCCCAGACGAACAGCTCCAATAACTTTGGCTGCAACTGCCATCCTCTCTTCCTTCTTGTGCTTGATCCACTGCATCACTGATTTAAAGATGAACGTCTCAGACGGTGCACTGAGGTCATCTCGGCTGAGAAGGCCAACTAATTGGTCTGGTTCTATAACGGACAAAAATTCTTCGCTTTCACAGATATCCTTAAACGTTAATGCCATCTTGCTCTCCGCCGCCTCTCGCAGATCTTTCATACCGTGTCTATTGGCAACCGTGCAGAGCAGACAGTAATTCTGCAGATCCAGTCGGAGCTGAACAAATTCTTTCTTCAGGAATTCACTGCAGTGTTGTACAACACTCGTCACTTGGAGATGAAATGCTGCAGCGAGTACTTCGAACACGTTTTTCTCGGTGACATGAAGATCTTCAGTGTAGATGGAGTCTAAGATGATCTTTAGAGCATTTGACGTGATGCTTTCGTCTTTCAATTCGATCATTTCCTGGTTAGACTCCTTCATTCCGTTCGTAAACATGGCGTAGAAATAATCGCTACTCGCAGCCAGCACGATACGATGAACTGGAAAGACGTCTTCGTCGACTTTTAATCGAACGTCGATAAATTGACCTTCATCTCTGAACTGAGCGCATTTGCAATGGAGAATCTCAGATAATGCAGCCATTTTGCAAGACGATTGATGCGAAAGACGATACACGAGATATTACTTTCGCTCGATTGCGTGATCAAATATCTACAACGGTCACGCAAACACCTTCAAGTTACGAGAGGAAGGGGGAAGGGTTGAATTTTGCAAGGCAGATGATAGGTATCTTCAAATGGTGAATTAAGTTAAAATTTTGAACGAGCGATGTCTCTTTTTTCGAAGAAAGGGAAAAGATCTGTTTTTTGCTTTTGGCAATGCTCAAAATGTAGGATTGGGCAAACATCACGGATGATTGTAATACAGTGACAGAGTTTTCAGTTTGCAGATTTTTTTGGAATAAACAAAAAAGGTGTAGTTATAGCTAAGAGAACTCCTTGAAAATCAATAATATCGACTCGCCGTTTACGAGAATCGACTCCTCTGGAGCGCGAGCACTCTCTTCTTAGTGTTTTTCCTTCATTGTCAACCCATAAATGATTAACATAAAAATTCTCTTTATAAAATCCTCACATTATCCAGCAAACTAGTTATGAGAATATTCAAACTTATCAGGTAGAAGTTGTTATCTTGATCTAACAACAAATTCGTATAACCAAGTTACAAGGAAATGTGTAGCAGCTAGAAGGGAGAATTAACATCAAGATCTTGAGAGTGAAAGGGTTTATCATTTATTGTTAAAGCCCATTTAGTAAAAATAAACCTTTTACCAATAAACTCACAACTTTATTATGCAATCAGGTTATTACATGGCACAATAAAATCAATCAGAGCGTTAAAGTATCATACTCATTAAGCCTTTGCAAGACTAAGATCAGTTTATGACCTCTTGACCTTTGCCAGTTTTCAGTTTGCATACTTAGCACTTTAGTACTTTTTTCTACAGCTCTACCATGAGCCATACTCATAACCAACAGTTCTATTTCATGACTCCTCTTCATTTCTAACTATGTCATCTTAAAATCTTAACTCAATTTACGTATTGAAAACCAAATTGTGTTTTCATGTGCCATACCCTCAGCTAATTGATAGGGTACACAAACCACACAATAACCTATTTCATTATCCAACTGCATAAATTATCCAAATGCATAAATTATCCAAATGCATAAATTATCCAACTGCATAAATTATCCAAATGCACTGCACTCATTGTTTCTAATTGGACTCCCCTATGGGCTCGTCAAAATACAACACAATTCGTAAAAATACTCAGTGATACTGCATACCAAAACATCTAATAAGATATATTTATTGCACACCTATTAAAACTACTTCTTTGAAACAACAGTTAATTTTAATAGTGTGTGTTGAGTACTATAATATGGCTTTTCAGTAAACTACATTAAAACAAGTATCTAGACCTTTTTCTTTACCATTCCGTTCGTTAACCGATTTTTACATGCCTAAAATTTTTACCTTGGATTTGTCACTTCTTTGTTTATCTTAAGTTTTCTTTCTTGACAGGCAAATAACACAAGACTGCTTCTCTACTTACTTGTGCTAAGTTTTTCCATTCATCACCTAAGTGGACAGGATAATTTTCCTCCGGAGGAATTCTAATACCACTGTCAATAGGAAAATTGTTAATTAAGAAATACACCCTCCTTTCAATTTCAAATGCACCTAAGTTGTTTTTCGGGATATGTTTCTGCTCCACAACAGACCAGGTGTCATTACGTTTGTCATACAATTCCACCACCTGGGCCCCTGAACGATTTCTGCTTGAACCCCCTGCCACACATAGTCTGTTATTGACTACAAAAATACTAGACCCAAAATGAGGATGGCAGGTCGAAGCTTTACGTTCCCATTCATTTTTCTCTGGGTCAAAACAATGCACTACCGCTGGTTTGTTGACCCACATACGATCATCAACTGCTTGATAGCCATGAATTACATATATTTTACAATTCATTACTGTTGCCGCCACAGATTCGAACCTTTCTTTGTCACGTTGTACATTTTTGACAAAATTCAACTCTTCCCCAGCTTGCCAAACGCCAGTGCTCAAAGAATACCTTTGGGGAGGATTTGATTGAGTAATGACATACAAATACCCACTGACTGAGCATACGCAAATCTTATTCCGGATGTTCCATTGTTCATATGATTCCCTTATTTTCAAATCTGGAAGTTTCTCCCACTTGTTATTTAATATGTGATAACGGTATACAACATAGTCAACTTGCATCTCTGGCTCAACTTGCACCCCTGTGACTACAAACAAGTAACTTCCAATCAATTCTGCAGAACAAAATACATCAGTCGTTTCATCTAGCTGAGCAACCGATGCCAAAGGCTTCCACAATTTGGTGTCAACATCAAAATATTGAGCGAAAGCGACTTCAGGCTGAGGATCAAGGAAAGTCGAGTACTCGGTGCTTACCGCTTTCCTCTTTATTTTACCTCTGGTCTTCGACTCGCTTCCATATATTCTTCTTAATGCATTTCGAGTAGGATGGATAGCCACGAGAACCTGAAATGACAACAAAAAAAACTTGAAATGAAAATGATCTCGTTGAAGCACGCAAGTGACACCGAAATCATTATGCTGAACGAGGCTTTGATAAAAGCTGGGAACAAAATGATACGATTGTTAAACTTTCAGTGTTCCATTGCAAAAGATCGCTTCTTGATCAATTAATTATAACTTGAAATCAATCTTTAGTGATTACAAGAAAGCCTAGGAGTAACGTCTAGAGTTTGACACCAACGGATTTTTAACGAATAAAATGCTCTACACTCTCAAAACGGAAGCTCGTATACTTATTCATCGCAAACCACTATAATAGCGGCGAGGCACATGAAGCTACATGCACCAGAAGAGAGACTATTCATTACAAACCTTTAAAGCTTTTTCATTTTTAAGCATCATCGTCAAATGAATAAATTTAATGGTAATACCGATTTTACTATGGAGAAAGTGTGCTACGAAATTAAATAAGAAAATTTTCGTCCTGATCCGCCGGACTTACGTGGTAGGCAGAGCGACTTGATTGCATTACCAGACAGAGGTTTAAAGAGAGTGTAACTCCAGAACTGATGAAAATTCTGAAGAAAAGTAACCTGACAATTTCTCTTAAAAAGGGAAGATCTTTCATGCATTACATTTAAGCTCACGGCCGAGAAGATTTCACATTTTCTCCAACGACACAATCGGAAATGTTGGGGCAACAATAGACTAAGTCAGAGTGTTACACCTCTTCTGTTCAGAACTGAGAGAGTCTATGAAACCGGGCTCTCTTTAGTCGAGTGAATAGGGTATGCTATAAACAATAAATGAAATTTTCATATAAACAGGCAAATGTAAGATGACTTGAATTACATTCTCACCGGAGACATTGATCTTGGTTTCATTTTCTCTGCAGCAAATTCATGTGAAGGCATACAGTGATGCATCATGGATTCTTGTAGATGCATGTTTACCTCGGGAAATCGCTGCATTTCTTCTGTTTTCAACTCTTCGATCACAATCTTAACGTCTACCAGCCCCAGACGAACAGCTCCGATAACTTTTCCAGCAACTGCCATCCTCTCTTCCCCTTTGTATTTGATCCACTTCATCACTGATTTAAATACGAAAGCTTCAGAGGGTGAATTGAGGTCATCTCGACCAAGAAGGATGAGTAGTTGATCTGCATCGACGTGAGTCAGGAATTCTTTACTTTCGCAAACATCTTTGTACATGGATGCCATCTTGGCCTCTGCTGCCTCTTGCAGATCTCTCAGACCGAGTCTTTCGGCGACTGTACACAGCACGGAGTAGTTCTTCAGGTCAATTCCGTTTTCTATGAATTCCTTCTTTACGAATTCGCAACACAGTTGAACAACACTTGAGATTTGAAGCTGACTAGCTGCGAGAAGAACTTCAAATACGCTCTTCTGGTTGACATGAAGATCACCAGTGTAGATTGAGTCCATAACGATCTTGAGTATCTGCGGTGAAATGCTTTTATCTTTCATTTCGATCACTTCCTGGTTCGCTTCTTTCCCATCTGTAAATATGGAGTGGAAATAATCGCTATACGAAGCAAGTACAACTCGGTGAGCTGGGAAAAGTGTATCATCCACTTTCAAACGTATGTCGATAAATTCTCCTTCTCTACGGAACTGGGAACACTTAGAGAGGAGAATTCTAGAATGGGCCACCATCTTTGTGCTGTTTCAATCAGCGGAGATCTTTGCTTGTAGAAACTTCGAAGGAAACCAGAATGTCTTTGTACGTGGATCGCGTGATCTCCCTCTGAAAACTATACTAATTCCCACTTGTATTGGTTGCTTAGTTACCGTTGACATACGCCCAGTGATGAAAAGATTAACGTGCAAAGATATCGATAACGGGGTTTCTGTTGGGGCATAAAAATAGTGGTATATCGGAAGAAGGTCGATGTAGTAAATAAATCGAAATTTATCCTAAAATCATTGACAAATTCATCAGACGTATGACGTTCATCTTCATTTACATCTTCTCTCCATAAAACACTTCATTATAAGTCATATATTTTGCCTGGAATGACTTTTTAAAATCTTTTTGTCCCTGTATTCTGCTGTAATTACTTACGTACACACTTTGTTTTTCTTTAGGATGAAAATCGCCAGAAGCTAGCCGGCGTTAGTATTTAAATTACAGTTGAAGGCTTTCTCAAGGCAATTAGTTAATATTTCGTAAAAAGCTGATAAGAAATACACTAACGACAGATTTCACACCCGAGCACTGTTTGGAGAGGTCTCCAACCCAGTGCTGATGTTTTAACTCTAGAATGTGAGCTCAATCCGGCCAACTGAGCGGAACATGGCGGATATACCACGACTGTGACTATTTTTCCGTTTTTGCAGGTGACTATACATACGAATAAGATTCAGAGAGATGTTCTTATGAAAAGTGAGTCTAAAAGGGATTTACTACAGATTATTATTTTGCTCACAGGGGTCCCATAACCATAGTTCTCTGGTAAGATACAGCGGCATGAACTTTTGTCTCAATACTCGCCCCATGGGAAGGCCAGAAAATTATTTCTGATTAAGCATGAAAAGAATAAACTGGCACGTTTTTTATTCAGATTATTCAAGAAATACTCAACAAACGGCAAGACTGATGCATTTACGTTTTATCTGTTAATAATCAGCAACTTCGTCGGACAACACATTCATGTAAACCAAAAAGCATTCAGCTTTTGAGCTAGGACAACACCCCGGCATTTTCATTAGACTGACTTAAAGTTGTATTTATTCTTCAGCTGACAGAGTTAACAACAGCAAATTTGATTCAAATTACAAGCATTACTCTGCTGTTAAACTCTCGTTCCTCACAGGTAGGTAGCACAAAACTGCGTTATTATTAACCTTTCTAAGATTCTCCCATTCACCTAAAGGCACAGGATACTTTTCTCCTGGTGGAATCCTAATTCCACTATCAATTGGGAAATTATTGATGATGAAATACACCCTCCCTTCTACTTGAACCGCACCGAGATTGTTGTTTGGAATGTGGCTTTGTTCAATATGAGACCACTTGTTGTTCTGTTCATTATAAATTTCAACTCTGGCGACAGATATTTTCTTCATAGAACCTGTGCCCCCTGCAATGCATAGTCTACCGTTTACTACAAAGAGGCTGGATCCAAAATGAGGATAATTAGCTGATGCCCTAGCTTTCCATTGATTTAGTTCTGGATCAAAACAATAAACCATGGCAGGTTTGCTCCCATAGATTGGACTCTGATATTTGTCATAACTCTCCACATTACGAGCGCCTTGAAGTACAAACAAACACGAGTTGAAAACTACGGAGGCTTTACAAAAAAAGGTGTTCGGACAAACTTCTCCGCGGTAAAATGAACTTATGCATTGCCACTGATTTGTTTTTAAACTAAACCTATGGGGTGGCTGCGATTCTCTGATTGCGTAGATATAATCACCAATAGAACATAAGGAATCGATCTTATGCTCGCACCCTAAAATAGGTGGCAGCGTCTCCCAGATATTACTCGCGGTATCATAACGATACATAACAAAATGTTCCTCCTTTTTTCCAGCTACATACATGTGATTACCGACATACTCAGCACAGAAACACGCGTCTACCTCAGTCAACTGAGCCATGGTTGGAAGAGGTTTCCATTCTTTGATTTCAAAATCAAAGTACTGCATCTGAGCTTGAGGAGTAATGGCCACAAGTACCTATCAAGAATACCAACGGGTGACATGAAAATCATTCATTTGATGCAAATTTAAGGTAAACTCTATCAATACTGCATCAACTGGTTACGATATGCAGTTGATCCCTTTCTCCACGGTCCAACCATAAATCTCCAACCTTTTCCACCAAAGGACGTCAAATTGTGATCATGTGACTTCGAACAATATCTTTGACAGACCATTTAATTTTCCCACACCCTTCGAAAATATCCAAGTTATGTCATCGTATTTTGTAGCTCTCATTAATTTATAACTGTATCAGGATTTTGCTAGACTTTTAGTAAGCCTGGAAACATTTTTGAATCAAAGAGTCCTTATTCTGCAATTTTGGAGTATTCTGATCTAATTTATCTTTTGTTCAAGGTGTGATTCCTCTTTTCCTGTCTTATATTTGTGTTGTGTTTGTTTTACTATTTGAATAAAAAGGAATTTAAGATAAAGGGCATCTAATTAGCTCACTAGCCTGCCTGGGACCTTTCCTGAGATCTAGAAAGACAAACAGTGTTTGCCTTACCGATTTCATGGACCTCGGTTTTGTTTTGTCGGTAGCGAACTCGGAGCTAGCTGAAGGCTCGTAGCTGTACAACAGTGATTCGTGCAAGAGCGTGTGAATCTCTGGAATGACTCGCATTTCTTGCGTATTGAGCTCCGCTATAACCTCTCTGATATTCACCAACCCCAGACGAACGGCTCCAATAATTTTGGCCGCAACTTCCATTCTCTCTTCCTTCTTGTGTTTAATCCACTGCATCACCGATTTAAAGATGAACGTCTCGGTCGGTGCACTGAGGTCATCTCGGCTGAGAAGGCTGAATAACTGATCTACTTCGATGTGGGTCAAAAATTCTTCGCTTTCACAGACATCTTTATACATCTTAGCAATTTTATACTCGGCAGCTTCTTGCAGATCTTTCAAGCCATGGCTATCAGCGATTTTCCAGATGCGGCAGAATTGTTCAAAATCAAAGCGAAGCTTCACAAACTCGGTCAGCAGGAAATCACAACACTGTTGAACAACACTTGTCACTTGAAGATGATCTGCTGCAGCAAGAACTTCAAACACGTTATCTTCGTTGAGGTTAGGCTCTCCGGTGTAGATGGAGTCCAGTATGATCATTAAAATATCTGGTGAAATACTCTCGTCTTTCAGCTCGATCACTTCCTGACTTGCTTCTCTCATTCCATCTGTAAACATGGCGTAGAAATAATCGCTATTCGCAGCCAGCACGATGCGATGAGCTGCAAAGATGTCTTCACCAACTTTTAATCGAACATCAATGAACTGCTCCTCGTCTCTAAACTGAGCACATTTGTACAAAAGAATCTCGGAATTGTTTACAACCATTTTGAAATTTAGGAATTTACCGATTCCGGAGGAGCAGAAACTGGGGCAAATCATCACGTGACCAGAAAATCAAACAGTCACGCAACATGAGTAACTACACACCAGCCCCTCCCCTAACCCAACATTAACCACAAGATGACCGTAAGTGGTTCGGTGAGTGGTAGGTGTGCAGTTGCTCAGATATTGACAATGATTTAAATGTCTGAGACGAATGTCTTGCGTGACGGAAATATTTCGTTTTTCTTTCTGTTTGATTAATCGCGGCACAAAGCAAGTCGAACGTTATGGTTTTAAGATTCATTCTGCGCTCAGAGGAGAAACTCAATACAAAAATTTCTAAATCAAAATGAAATCAAGGAAGACTAGCACATACCTTCCAATATGGGATTCGTGTTACGTAACGTGACAAAGGGGCGGTTGTGAAGGATTGGTAGAATATTCTCCATTACTGTTACATTATCAAATACTATGCGGCTTCATACATTTCTTTGGGTTTTATTTATATTGCATTAAAATATCAACACTGATTTTAAATTAGGCTTTTCATTAAAATGCTGTTTGCACAATTTTTTTCGAAATGCCTCCTATAAATTTGAAAAAGTCTAAGCCTAATGTCTCTCTATGGAACCAGGGTGCTGACGTGTTTTCTTAGTTGATATGGACTCAGGTGATTATTAGGATGATCGCACCTAATTGGTCAATGGTTAAATGGTATCTCACTAAAATAGTCTCCAAATGCAACTTAAATGCAAAATCTCTATGATTGACTTTTTTGTTTTTATGACCTTAACAATCCCCATAAGGGCATTTTTATAATGATGACCTTGGAATATTCTCCTAAGATATCAAAGATACTTTTTTACAATTAACTGTTCTCAAGTAACAGCTCATCTGAAGCTTCATGATTTTCTGTCAATTCTTGTTTCATTTGATCAGTCTCAGTTCTGTTCACAGGCATATAAACAAACACTGCATCTGTATCATGCTGAGAAATTGGCTCCCAATCTTCAATGTTGACATGATAAACCTCCTCAGCACCAATTCGGATCCCACTGTCAAAGGCAATGTTTCCAAGTATAAAGTAAATGTGATCCTCAATCTCCACAGCTCCAAAATTACCAGGGGGTATGTGAGGCTGTGGAACAGAACACCATAGGTTATTTTCTTCATCATATACCTCAACATAGCTGGATGGAACAAGTCCCCTTTGACGCTTGCTGGGTGGGTCTGTCTTACCACCTGCAACATACAATCTTCCCCCAGCTTCAAAGGCACAGGCCTGGGTGTGGCTGTAAACTGTTCCTGCCAACTTTGTCCATTCATTCTTCATAGGATTAAATCTGAACACCCCACGATCTGCCCCTCCTTCCGCCCAAGAGCCACCAATGGAATAAATATAGCCATTGTGTACAGCCACAGCACAGCCATACAGACCTTGATCTACATGGAAAGAAAGGCGTTGCCATGTTTTCTTTGAGAAGCTGAATCTCTCCGATACTACAGTGTGATTAACTTCACTGCCACCAATAACATACAGGAAATCTTCCAGCATGCATACTTGGAAATCACAATGTGTATTCTTCATAGGTGGTAATGTTTTCCAAGCATGTGTATCAAGCTGGTGCTGATGGACATCTTTCTCATCAAAGAGGAACAAATAATTTCCAGCGTACAGTGCTGCTGGTTTGATTTGAAGACTTGGTAGTTCAAGACCAGGAAATGGCTTCCATGATTTAGACACACTATCAAAGTACTTGACTTCAGACAAGCATGACAATGAAACCAGGGCCTTAAAAAAATCAACAATGGTTGTAATAAACTGTTAAAAAATATTGTTATGATAGATGTTTTGTGTCAATTTTGTGCAGTATAAGAGCTACAAGCTGGCTGTCCTGAGACATCTCCAAATTTTCTAAAACAAATTGTATGTGACAGTGATTCATATTTTTTTATTCAAGAGCACACACACCCCATATGTGCTTTTATTGAAAGCATACAAAAAAATTTCAGACATGGACCCTACACCATGGCATGAGCAGGGCCTGGAAGAGCTGCACAACCATCCAAGATGCAAGCTTAAAGAAGAAAGGAAGAAATAGAAAGAGCTGCAATTGTCTAAAGCAATGCTTATTAACTGAGCTAGGAGCTGGAGCCAAAAATTTCCCATCTGGCACTCCTTCTCAGGCACTAAGTACCTGATATTAATGAAATTGCAAAATTAGTGCACAAAAGCAGGTAAAACAGTGTCAATATAGCTGAGGCTATGAGGGGGGCTCCTCGGGTGCATACGAACCCTTTACTCTTGTTGCTAGCTTCATTCAAAAAATAACAACGTGTAATGATTTAAATTATTTTTTCCTCAGTTCACGAGCGAGCGGTATTCTACAAATCCTGCAATCTGATTGGTTCCGAGAGTGGGCAGTATTCTCCCCATCCAGCCTGCTCACAGTGGGCAGTTCTTTTTGCAATCATTTGTTAGGTTTGAGAAAAAATAAAAACGTTATTCACCAGCCAAGGTCGGTCGGTATTGGGAAAAACTGTGCCCTCTGTCTAGTGTAACCAAGACCTCGGGCACAGTTTTTCCCAATACGGACCTCCCATCTGGTGAATAACATATATAAACTGTAGAATGTTGTTAGAGTCAAGTGAGACTCTGGTGTAGGCCAACCTTTAATGAAAAACCCCTCTGATGCCTCTGACTTATGATCAACCCACTCTAACAGATTAAGTATGTAACCCAAAATCGGTGTACCGACAATAATGTGCTGTTACTATTTCCCCCTACCCCACGCTCTAACCATGAACGCATGCAGCAGAACTGCAAAGGCCAAAGTACTTACCTTCGATGAAAGGCGTGGCATTCCCTTCTCTTGAGCAAATGAAGAAAACAAAAAGGGTCGGACATGCTGTGATAAGCTGTTGTGCATGAGCGAAAAACACTCAGGGATGTCTTTGAACTCCTCCGATTCAAGTTCTGATAGCACAACCATTATGTCGACAAGTGCTAAACGAACTTTGTTCAGCAGCCTTGGCGCATGTGGCAATCGGTTTTCTTTATCGTACTTCATCCAAGTGATCACGGTTGTGAAAAGAAAAGTTTCCGAGGGAACACTTAGATCGTTACGTGGAAGAAGAAGCTCTAACTCGTCTACAGTGATGTTCTTCATAAATCCATCTTCCTCGCAAATTTCTCCAAACTTCAGAGCGAGCGCTTGAAGACTTTCTTCACGGAGTTCAGTCAAATTATGCCGCTCAGCAACTCTGTGAATTTTCAGTTGAGTTTCCATGTGGAATTTATCTCGACTAAGGTTATTTCCGATGAATAAAGAACACTTCTTAACCACGCTAAGTATCTGCAAATGATCGGCTGCTTCTAAAACGTCTAGTACGTTATCTTCGGTTAGCGGGAGAACGGAGGAGTAGATGAAATTTAAAATTGTTTCGAAGGCCTCTGCGGTTAAATCTTCGCCTTGAAGTTCCACCTCATTCTGCGTACTTTCCTTCAACTCGGCAGAAAACATTGCATCAAAAAAGCGGCTTGAAGTGGCTAATAACACTTTATGAGCATGAAATATCTTTCCTTTGACGCGTAAAGTAACGTCCGTGTAGCAGTGATTTTCGCGCATTTTCGTTAAATTTTGAAACATCTCGCGCGAATACACCAGGTCCAGATCTTTTCCCATACTGAAGTGTGGATCATAAATATTACCAACAAATCACAATGAATTGTTTAGAAATGTCCACCTTTCACCGGTAAAATTTTCAAAAATATCTCTTTATTTACCACCGAACTTTAACCACTTATCATTGCACGTGCAAATAAAGTTTTTGCCACGTGATTGGTTCAACGTAAATAAAATGATTGGTTAAACCGATCCCAGATTCAAACAGCATGGTACATGCTGATCTTCATAACGACATGCACTTCTCCTACTCAGATTATAAGCAGTAGCACAAGCAAGTATCCGATTAAATTTCGACACAGGTGCAAAGCACAGGATTATCTTCTTTTCAATCGAGTGATTCGGTCCAGTGGTCAGGCGGCACGTGTCAAACACAATTCAGATCACGCAGGTCACGCAAGGAAACATAGGTGGACACTGTTTTGAACTTTTCTTCAAACCACCTGTAAATTGTGTTTTGCACGAAATAGAAATTAAATTGTAACGGAAATCCTATGACTCTATGCAGATTGCTCAACATGGCAATTTTTACAATTTTACATTCATTTTGAACTTGTTACCCCTCCCTACCCTTGGCTTTAGCAGATCTAGGCATCGATTATGCCTATAATCTCTCCTTCTTCACACTCCTTTTTATACAAAGTGTTTCCAGCACCAGGAATATTTGCTGAAAATGACTTTCACACTTGAATGCTTACTTGTTGGAACAATTCAAGGCTTAGTAACCATGCCTGGTGATATCAAACTCTTTCAAATACAAATTCAATTTATTTTTTTCCACCATAATACATGGCAATACTTAAACCTGATTTAAATACTTTGAATTAAAATAAATAATCATAGTCATGAAACTTTTGACACTGCACACTGACAAAAAAGGTATAAAGAGTCTAAAAAAAATAATAACTTACAATACTGGAGCTAAGGACTTTATCCTCTGCACCCCAGTTCTAAGGCTGAAGAGAATACATGAAAAAAAACCTCAAAAAAAAAAAGACTGCCCATCAGACAGGCAATCATGAAGATTAAAATTCAATAAGATCAAAATATTTTTTTATATCTTTTTTTGTGGTGGGTTTATGGAATTGTGAAGACTCAGTAATCAGGAGAAATAGAGAAGAATGAAAAAACCCCTCCCTCACCCTAAAAATTCTGAGTGATCACAAAAATAGATTTTTGTCAACTTGCCTGACAGGTGTTCAAAGTACAAAAAAAATTAAAATTGTGCAACAGATTAAAAAGAATCCAGACAAAATATCTCTAAACAGATTTAAAAAAACAATACATCTTCAGAATATGGAAAAGTTTGGGTTAAATCTTAGCTTTCCTTTGCAAGAAAAGAGGTGTAGTCAATTAAGGCAATTTTACATCTTCCTAACAAAAGTACTTGGTTCAGATCTGACCTATACCTTGCACACAACAAACATGTAAAAGTGCTTGCTCATTCAAATTTAGAACTCTTTGCCCCTGACATTTCACTAACTGTCATGTTTTTCAACTTCCCATGCTTCTTTTACTTTGGTGATGGCTTCATCTAATTCTTCTTTCTTTGATTTTAAATCTTGGTCCACACTATTTAGACGTTCCTGAGAAGACTCTAATGTCTTAAATTCTTTCAAAAATGAAGCAACCACACCATAGAGCTCCTCATTAGATTGACATTTTGTCTTGATTTCGTCTGCATTTCCTTTACTTTCAGATGTGTCTCCTCCACCAGCTGAATGATCCATGACACTATCTGCACAGATTAAACATAATTTTTTTACCAGCTAAAAACTATAAACTGAAATTAAATACCAAAAAATGTATCTTGTGAGAAACCATTAAACCTTTAACTCTCAGAAGTGATTCACATGTAACTTCACCCTATATACAGGTTATGAGAATTTAAAAACTTATCAGGTAGAGGTTGTTCTCTTGATCTAATGCAAAATCATCGTAGCTGACTAACAAGCAAATGTATAGCAGCTAGAGAGGAAAATTAACAGTCAGATCTTGGGAGTTATGGGTTAATACGCTGTTGCTGATAGTAAAAAAACGCTTTCCTGCGATAACCTTTCAATAATCAATTTGGCGACATTATCGACGTAACTAAGAGTGATGAGGTATCAGTAAACTCCAGAAATTAACTCACCTGAATGACTGGCCAGCTTGTTTCCTTTACCCTTTGATATTTGGGCTGATTCTCCAGCTACGATTGACGACTTAAACACGACATCATCGTCCCTTGCCGCAGCCAAATCTTCTAAAATCTGCTCGACTGACGGAGGAGAAGGACCTTGGTGTGCTTTTTGGCTGGACATTGAAAAGGAATCTAGAAACAACATCACGAATTTGTACATTCAAAGAGGAAATTTCCTCAGCAAGGCCGCCATGATGGAAATTTGCATAACAGCTAAACCGCTGGCTACTTGTCAGTAGTAACCACTCTCTCCAGTCTTCCTCGTGCTTTTGGAATCTTGTGGCAAGAAGAGAGCGGGAAATATATTTAGTTCAATATGAGAAAATTAAATCTCGGAAAGCTACGTTGTTCCACACAATCAGCCGCCAAAAACCAGTCTCTGAGTGGCTCATCAGCAAGAGATCAGTCACAGACTACGATTTCCAGTTTTTTCATCACCAAACATTGCCCGGTGAACGATCCTTCCTCCAGTGAAACCGGCAGGACAACAGCTGATGGAAATAAGCTCACAAAGGGTGCTAAGGTATGCTTTCTAGTAAAACAGCTATTCATTGGTACACTGACATTGTGTTTCGAAACTGATATCGATATTGCAGTAAGATAAGAAGCTTGTTTACATCACACTTGGGCTATCGTATAAACAACCATTAGACCCTACCTCACCTTGGCCCTAGCCAATTCCGAACAACCCCTCCACCATCCCCCCCCCCCCCTCCGCCTCTTTTAAGTCAATGAGTTGAAGAAGTAAATTTTGCATTTTACTTTGAACATGAGATTATGAGATTATTCAAGAACCTTTGCATGCAAGTGAGCACCAAATACTTGTTGTTCCTGTGTTTTATCCATGCCACCATGAAGCAATTGTTGTGTCTGCAAGAGGTGGGCTCTGAAATCTACAATCCACAATCCACACACACAAAAAAATGAACCTAGGTAGGATTTCTATTTATTGTTTCAATTTATTGATATTTATTTGTGATCTTTCAAACTATTAGAGGTGTGCCAGTAATATATCTCACAGTGAAGACAAGAACAATCCAAGCACACATTCAAAAAGGCAAAGAATATGTCTAAATCAGTCCATAAAGGAAGATGGAATAGTTGAAGATCATGTCACACTGAACAATAAGGAAGTACTGAGTAGTTCTACAATGGCCAAATTGAACTGCTTTAGAAAAGATTCAATCATGACTAATTTGCAAGTTGACAAAAAGCTGAGAAATCTGCCAGTCACAGAAATATATGGAGACAGAATTGAGCCAGACAAAGATCATAAAAACAAGAGCAATGGTGGAGCTATCTATGACAAGGATGACGATGGTTCAGAACCAATGGATTTTGATGAAAGAGTTCATCAGGAAAACTTAAATATCACTAAATTTGCTTGTACATCACGTCCATCTGGAAGACCAATTCAGAACATCAAAAATGTAGCAGAAAAGAATGAAACAGAAAGATATAAACCTGTCAACTTAAGGACTAAATCCACATATACACCTTTAGAACTTCAGTTTCTTGAAGTTAAATCCAAGTATCCTGATGTCATTTTACTTGTGGAGTGTGGCTATAGATACAGATTCTTTGGAGAGGATTCTGAGGTATATCATTAAAGATAAGCAGGGCAGTTGCTAAGCACTGGCTGCCATTGGAATTCAGTAGATGAAAAAGCAATGATCACCAGCTAGATTTTTAGCCAGTGGTCGCTTGGTAAAATATGTTGGGCACTTCTGAGGTTACACACTTACAATCATTTGATATTGAACGCTATCTCTGAGAAGCCTTACTTGAAATTTCATTCAGTAGCCTAATTTCATAACTACAGCCATGGATAAAAAGAAATTGATAAAGCTTAGTTTTATCTATTTCTATTTTTTTAAGGACACTGTTAATTCTGAGAAGCTTTCATTAACCTATTTTTTCAGATTGCTGCTAAGGAACTGAATATCACATGCCATTGGGATCATAATTTTAAGACAGCAAGTATTCCTACCCACAGACTTCATGTTCATGTCAAAAGGTGATCAATTCTAGTAGGATGTATTTCAAAAATAATTCCTCTTCCTCTATATAGGAAGATAGATTGTTACCATACTTGAATGTTTCTATGCCACACCCTCACATACCCACAGTCCAAAGAGCCTATCATATTGGGATTTACCTGGAATAGACAAGCATCCTTCTCAGGAGAAGTTACCTCACATTCTTATTCACCACTTCTTGTTACAGAGTGTCATAAAAGCTAGAATATGAAAGAAATAAGAAAGTTGTTATTTGTTTGTTGTGAGAGTAGGACCAAGAGAATAAAGCTGAGTCCTTCAGAAAGTATTGAACCTCAAACATTTGGATTTTGTGGTCTGTTGCCCTACTAGTGACCCATTTAGATTTCATTGGTTAGTTGGACCATTTACTAGGTTTAGGATAAGCTCGCAGGAAGCAGGAACCAAGAACTGGACTTCTGACAATTGACCCCTTCACCACATGTGACTTACAGGCATTGTATTATCATACTGACAACCAAATATTTTCAGGTTGGTCAGTAAAGGCCATAAAGTTGGAGTAGTGAAACAAACAGAGACTGCTGCACTAAAGGCTGCTGGAGAAAATAAGAGTAAAGTATTCACAAGAGAATTGGAGGCATTGTATACAAAGACCACCCTGGTTGGGGAGGGTATCCTTTGTTTGAGATTGTGCAGGCCTGAAATAGGATGATGGGTGTAGCATGAGGGGTGAGAATAAAGGATGAGAGCCCCCCCCCCATTAACAATTTGCCATCCTTTAAGCCCTCATCACTCTTTTTGCAAAACTTTTAAAACATTCAGTCTTGTCATCTTGATATGCAATTCTCACCAAACAGTTGCCATATTTTTTACTTGAATTCAATTTTGTATTGACCTCAATGACACTAAGATATGAAGACTATGGAAGATTTAGATGAAGCAGATTCTGTGGAGATGGGAAGTGGATATCTCATGTGTCTTGTTGAAAGTGATCCACAGGATTCTAAAATAAGCAGTGATAGAAAGTTGTTTGGATTGGTGGTAAGTAAATTTCATAATTGTGTGAGAGTTTCTTAGGGTCCTCAGGTCTACCTTAACTTTTAACTAACCCTTGGAAAGTCAACTACTTCCTTAAAAAATTTGTGAGGTCCCTCCTAAGTTACAATGTATGACAGATGCATTAGGTCCATTGTAAAAAAAAACCTCGTGGGAGTTCCCTGCTTTAAGGAGCCTAGAGTTCCTCACAAAGATCCTCAAGGCAAGTCCCTTCATAAAAGACCCTTGTGTTCCCTGCAGAGTCAGTCCTAGAATTCAATGTTTCTCATTCAGATATCAAAATAGATGTACTTGGGTCTCTCTTGGATGAAAACTTCCAAATTCTCACACCCTTAAACTATGTTAAATAATAACCACATTGCTCAGTCCTGACCTCTTGTTTGGTTTTAAATTTTATATTCAGGCAGTTCAACCATCCACTGGTGATGTCATCTATGATGACTTTCAAGATGGGCCAAGCTATATGGAGCTGGAGGCACATTTGGAACACATCTGCCCTGAAGAATTACTGCTGCCTGAATCCCTGACCATCCAAACAGAGAACTTCATCAAGGATTTTGTTACAAGGGTGCAAAGGTTTGTCATAAACTCTCTCCATTTAGAGGGAAACCTCAAAACTAAGAAAAATACCCCCCATTAAAGGGTCAGAGGAGAATATACTACATGATGGCAGGGACTATCCAAGTTCAGTGGTTGATTCCTACCCAATAAGAGAGAATTCTCCAATCTGTGATGTTAACAGAACACTCCATAATACACAAAAATTCATTTATAAATTTTTCATGATGGTACCAAAGCTCAAAGAAAGGATCTCACCATAGTTAAACCTGGGTTGTAATACCTTTTCTTTTATGTCAATATTTCTAAAGCAAACAATTATTGCAGTATGTTCTGAATTCACAAATATAAGGATACCAAAAATTAAGTTTCTTTCTCTTTAAAGTTATGATGCAATTTATGGAAGATGTATCTAACAAATCCCTATCCTTATTGTCCAGCATTCCTTGATAAGCTTGTAACATATTTTGTAAGAACCCCTTTAAATTTTTGTTTAGAAGTTTGGGTATCAATAGAAGCATTAAGGTTAATGGTGTTTTTTGTTACTGTTATGCAGACCAGAGGATAGTATAAGACTTGAAAGAATGCCTGATCAATTTTTTGATCATTCTACTTCTCTGAAATGCATTACTGAATTTTATGAGGAACAAAAGCCAGTGAGGAATGAAGAACTCTGCAAAGTAAACATTACCCAGGAACTGCAGGAAAACAGTTCAGCATTGGAAATAATCCTCAAGCTTCCCAAATCAGTTCAGTCTTGCTTTGCTGCACTTGTCAAATATCTTAAAGACTTCAGGCTGGAAAAAATTTTCAGGTTGATAAGGTATGTTCAAATAGTACGGTAGTATTTCCTGAGCAATGCATGAGACAGATATACTTCTTATATGTGAGGATTGATTGATTCTCAATTGGTATTAATTGATAAATGTGTTTTTTTTTAATTCACAGTAACTTTTCAAGATTTTCTGTACAGAACAAATTTCTAAAATTAAATGGACAAACTCTGAGGAACTTGGAAATATTTAAGAATCAGGTATTTTGCTTGACTGATATTTACACTTGTTTTGATTGAATTACTTTTCTTGATAAGTCAAGAACTCTAAAAATTCAACTAGCTCCAAGAATTTGCGAGCATGAAACGTCTTAAAAAGGGAAAATTGAAGCGTTATTCAAAATTTAAGTAAATTTCTTTAGCTTACTTTAAGATGCATAAACATCCTAATTTTATCCACAGACAAATGGTAATGAAAAGTCGTCACTCTTCTGGATCATTAACCACACAACAACTGCATTTGGGCGAAGGCTTTTAAAGAAATGGATTTCACAACCTCTTCGAGATGTTAGGTGCAGGTTGCTCTTTCCCATGTTGTTTTTCACCAATCATAATTGTGGATCTGGACTGGTTTAACTTGAATTTTTCACTGAACGTTTTTGTTTTAAGTCCATTTTCCACCCTCAACCGTTTTTTGTTTTTGTCTATTCTTGCCTCTGGGATATTTTTCTTTTTTCACTTTTATGTGAATACAATTTCTTAATAACGTGTCATATAGAAGGCACATTTAGCTTAGGTAGTTGTGCCCACTGCGCAACAGACGGATATGTTCTGTGAATGCACCAAGGTGCACGGTTGTAGAAACCCTTTAAAGAGAAATTTTCATCTCCTTTCTAACAACTCAACATCTTTTGTGTACATTTCAATCAGTGAGATCGAGAAGAGGCTTGACGCCGTGACAGAGTTGTGCGGTCCTAGTGCATCATGTTTAGCATCCTTAAAAGGCCTTTTGTCGCAGCTTCCCGACCTGGAGAGAGGATTATGCACCATTTGCCATAAAAAGGTTTGTTCAGGTCGACAGTAACGTTGTTTTTCGAGAGGAAGTACAGTGTAGGTAAAAGAAGGGTATGGGAAGGAAAGATGTTGGATGGTCTTGTGCAGGTGGAAAGAACAGATTCGGAAAATGTATGTCCTCGAGTCAAAAAACTGAATTGCTTAGCTTTTTACTCGCGTATTTGAGTATAATTGCCATTTACGACGAAAGTTTGTCCTGAATTTTGTAACATGAAGTGACAAGAAGATTTGCTACTTCTCTTGGACGGAATACTAGTTCAGTGCAAGTTATTCCTCACCATTTCGTTAAGTTTCCCTGAAAATTTGTTTTTTAACCCATTTACACTACAGGGTGGCGACAAGAAAGAGCAGATCAGAATAAAACACTATAGGCCGGTTATTTAAACAAAGTTTGACAGTTGTTTCGTAAAAAACGCGCTCTAAACTATCCTGAGTTTAGCTGAATCTTTTATCTGAACGTTTATTTTTGTGAACAGTGTCAAGAGGGCCGAAAGCTAACAGTGAAAGGACATTTGTTAATGAAAACAACCTTCTCATAGAGACCTCGTCTAAATAACGGGTCCTATACAACCCTGGGATCAATATCAGTATCTGGGCAACTGCCCACCTACCCCTCCCCTAACCCAACAACAGTCAATTGACAACAAGTTAAGGTTAATTTTGGGTTAGGGGAGGGGTAGGTGGGCAGTTGCCCAGACACTGATATTAATCCCAACCCTGAACAGAGTTCGAACCCAGACTTCTCGGTGGAAAATCCCTTGTGCTAATCACCAGGCCTCCTTGTTTCTAACTCGCATAACTTGGCCATAAATATTAGCCATCACAAAACAATGTTCCCCTTTGGGCTCACAGGTTGCATAAGTCATGTGAGAGGTTGCTATCAGAACTCTACAAAAATCTGCTCCTGGTTCAGATTTCAACTGTAGAGCTACCTTCGTGACGCTCAAAATTCATACTGATGAATGTAAAACTGCATTTTATGATGGTTTTTTTTTATTGCTCACCATAGTGCACACCAGCAGAGTTTGTCACAATAACAAAATCTCTGGTAAGGATTGCAAAACACCTTCAGTCAAACAAAGATGTTGCCACGAGCAAACTTGAATCTTCACTTCTAAGAAACGTTTTCACTGAGGTATGTACAATGAAGTGGTGTCGACATTACGATGTCATTATACACGTTTTTCACATACCTTAAAGCTTGACCAAGGAATTATTTTTCTAATTTTTTTTTCAGGTGCCAACGTATTTGGAGGATGTTGAAGATTTTCTTCGACTGGTTGATGAAAAGGCTGCCAAGTAATTAACATTCCTTAAATAAGAGTTTAGCGGTTTGGTTTCCAACACCCAAACGGTAATACAGATGTAGTAGTCCTGAACTGAAGAGACCGTCGACTTCACGGTAGATACTGTTTGTTAGCGAGCCAGAACACAGGAATTTAGAATCGAGGTCTCTTCAGTGGAAGGCCTTCAATTGTAGCTGCACTGATTGAAGGGAAGAGAGAGAGTAAACTATGAAATTCATTCGTAGACGGTTTTACGACGCAAAGTTAGGTTTTGCGGTTTCTTATTAAGCAGTGTTGTCAAAGTTCGTGGCGTGAAACTTTTAACTGACTCTTTCGAGTTATCAGTGCGTAACTAAAAATGTTGAATCTAAATCAAAGATCTAGCTCATCAGAATAAAGAGAAATGGCCGACTGCTATCTCTGTTCAGCTTACCTGGCCATCGTTCCATTTTATTTCCAGAGACGGTGACAAAACCAAGCTGTTTTGTGATCTAACGCAGTTCCCCATGATAATGAAATGTAATTTGGTGAGTCAGAGACCATTTTGTTCCAATAAATGTTCAAACAAAGCGCACAGTTTTTCAATTCACCTACTGTTATAAAATTTCTTCTACGTTCAATATGAATTGTTTAAGAGTTTCTTCGTTTATTAGGAAATTGAGAAGATTCTGACCGACTTAAGGAACCATCGTTCAGAGTTTAGACAGGTGTTACGACATCCATCTTTGGATTACTGCTGTGTTTCAGGAAACGAGGTACTTTCAATCCATTGTTTCGCTTTGCTCAGCTCAGGGTAGTAAACTTGAATTTTCTGAAGAGAAGAGTGAACATGTTGAAAATGAGCACGAATCGCCAATCAGCGCTTTATACAGCCCCGAATGAACTGACCACAACGTCAGAGGAACTGAGTTTTAACCAAAGTTTTTGTATTGTTTATTTCAGTTCTTAATCGAAGTAAGGAACACGAATTTGAAGACTGTGCCTGCCGACTGGATAAAAATAAGCGCGTAAGTCTCCAGAGCTCATTAAGCCTCTTCTCTTCGTTGTATCATTTTATAAAACGTTGCGTCTAATTTCCACTGATCATTCCACCTATAAAAAGAGGTGATGAGTCATGTTTTCCGTGGGAAACAGTTTATAAGGTGCCTGATTGTAGTATTGCAAAGGAATAACTGCTTAATTTTGAAATAGTTTTTAAAAGATAATTCTGCTGCTGATACTCCTACCTTTGTCTTTAAACCTTCTCAAACTAAGGCTAAAAAGTTCTCGCCAGTCTCTCTATCAATCATGAGCGAAATGTGAATCAAACGCTGCCTTGTATTACAAACGTGGTCACTCACGTTTTTCCCGCGCTTTTAGTAGATGACTTGCTTTTACCGCGAGCTCTCATTGGCTACTTGAATTGGAGCGCTTTTCGATTCATAAGACACAACCAAAGTAAACAGCAATTCGAACACAAGTTAATAAAACAAGGAGCCAATAAGCACTCGAAATATAAACAGGCAAACTACTTGCAGCGCGGATAAACGCGAGGGACCAAGTCATTATTTGTTTTAGTTTTTTATCTGTTAGTTGAGAAGCTGATATAAGTTTTCAAGACCAATCGTAGAGCGAAGAAACACGAACTAATAAAATCCCTAATCACTAACGAGTGGCCTTAACTTTTTGAAATTGTAACGAAGTACGCTCTGTGCGGTTTTAAGTAAGTTTTAAGTAAAATTCTCGCTTATTTGATAGCGGTTTGTGCAGTGAATAGCGCTTTGCGATTTTCGAAGTAAAAAATTTTCCGAATGGTTTTGTATTAAGGTATTGATTTACTGACGATAGGTTCGATATGAATCACTTCTGTGTGTGGTTTTTCCAGTACGAAACAGGTGTCAAGATTCAGGACACCATTCGTAGAGGACAAGTTCAAACTTCTTTGCCAGTGGCGAGAACAACTGTCAATCTGCTGTCAGGAGGCGTGGCTAGAATTTCTCGCGCTCTTCTCGGAAGCGTGCGCAAGATACCGGCGTGCCGTATGTCATATCGCCACGCTCGACTGCTTGTTCTCCTTGGCAACCGTGGCCAGTCAGCGAGGTTTTACCAGGTATGGCTTGTTATCAAATGGGAAATATTTTCTATTTAATGTTGAATAAATGGTTGTTCTCACGGTGTGAGGTCACTTTCAATTAAAGAAAAAATGTGAAGCATTTTTTAAAGCCATATCCGAGTTTGCTGTAAGAATTCAAACCCAAGCCCTATGTCGTCATGGTCCTGAGTTTTTCAGCATGGTGGAAGGGATTTTAGATTTGCCAATATTGCTGACGCTGAATTTAACATCTTTTCTGAGAGAAAACAATTTTTATAATGAGAATTTGTTTTGAAATTCTCTGCATTCACGGTTCTTTACAAATTGTCCTTGTAAGTAATATCTCTATAGTGATAAACAGAGTTCTAACATATCCGCTTGCGGATTTGAATTATTCTGCTCGTACTGACTTTACCTCTCACTCGTTCGCCTCGTGGACTCGTTAGAGATATCGTCAAAATACCTGACATTAGAATTCGATTTCAAGGAACACTTGTACAAATTTCCATTAAAATGTCATTCTTATGCGCACGGTAACTGAAAGAAGGTTTTGCGGCGTAACTTTCGGTAGAGGGCCCTCTCTTGGTTTTGTTACCGTGGGAAATGTACTCGCCTTGCATTCTGTGAACTTATACTCTTTTCTGGCTAGCTCTTGAAAGTAATTTGTTAAGTACATTTGGACATCCGTTAAAGATTGCGATTTGAGTATTTTCCACTCGGCAGTTTCCGAAATTTTGCGGAATCGAAATGTAATAGGAGGGAGCTTTGCGTAATATCCCTCGACAATAATTGAACTTAAGCGAGTTAAATTGATATATATTCTTAGCGAAGCGATTAGTCGCCTTACCTCTTAGCTTGATGTACTTTAGAACGAAATTACATTTGCTTGATGCTCTGTTATCTTCAAAATGGGTGCTTAAAGTTTACTGCTTCCCGAAATAATAGTTGTACGTCATATCAGATACTTATTTTAAGTGCTCTGCGCAACAGTTTTCTATTCGGGAGTATATTACTTCTCTAGCTTCATACTATATCAAATCAGTTGAAGACTAAACAGAACCAACGTTTGCAAGAATGGTCATGAACACCTCTGATTTCGCTGAGGAACCCCAACTACGAACCTGTGTTATGAACAAAGTTGTCTGGAGCAACAGCTATGACACAGAAAAGACAAGCTTTGCCATCATCGCGATAATCCTCAATGGTCTTAGCATGCCTGTGATAATTCTCATGAACGCGTTGGTGGTCGCAGCGGTGAAGACAACACCCAGATTGCGAACAAATTATAACTTTTTGTTGGCTTGTTTGGCAGGTACAGATCTGTTGGTAGGAATTGTTGTTCAGCCAAGTTTCATTGCCGTACAAATTAACGTTCTAAGGGGAATATCTTTGGAGCAATTCTGCCAACGCGAAAAAGAGTTTTCTTACTTCGCTATCCTTCCCATTCTCTCATCTTTTTATCATGTCACCCTTATAAGTGTTGAGCGCTTTGTAGCGATAAAACACCCCTATCGTTACACCACTGTTTGTACTAATCGTCGCCTGATTACGGCAGTCGCCATCTCGTGGGTCATGACTTGTTTGCCAACCGTACTTCACTCTCTTGACGAAAGATTAAAACCGATAGTCAGAGCTTTTCGTGTTTGTTTTTGGATGTTTAACTTTTTCGTAATTATATTCTGTCATATTTCGGTTTACTTTGTGTCGCGTAGACATGAGAGTCGGATCAGATCGGAGCAAGTGTCACTGCAAGCCGCTGCTGACTTTGCCAAGGAGAAGAAAGCTTTGAAGACAACTAGAATTATTATACTGACTTTACTTTTGTGTATTCTGCCTCCTTCAGTGTATGGTTTGTTTTTGCGCATCTTCTCCAACAGCAGTAATTATATTGTGACAGTAGTACATTTGAGTCATCCTGTCGTATCAACTTTTAGTTTACTTAATTCTGTTTGTAACCCGTTCGTATACTGCTATAGAAACAGGACATTTCGGGGCAAATGCGTCAGGTTGCTGAAATTTAGATGCACATAATGATCTACCTACGTTTGTGATGGAGACATCTTAAAATTATTAAACTTTGTCCAAGTGTTGTTTTTTTGGTTTCTTTTTTTTTATCTGAAGAGTGAAGGTATTGCCCTTTTTTTTTTCTGAAGAGTGAAGGTTGTTGCCCTCGGTTGTGACGTTGTGTTATTTTGGGGGGTTCTTGAAAGTTTAAAGTCTAAGTGAGGGCTGTTTCAAATTAATATTTGATCACTCTACTGAAGGTAAAAGATTTAACGCACTTCCCATATCAGAAAGGAATTCAAGGTTGAAAAAAATTTCCTATCTTGACACGAAATAGCCATAAAGATATCTTTGTAACCCGACGCCGGTAAAATATGTGTCCCTATTGGCTGACTTACTCACCAACTATTGGCTCATGAATAAGGTGTAGAAAATTCAGGGTATTAGCAATTACACCTGTGTTTCAATAATTGTGCAGGTCTCTGGGAACCAACACTCAGTAAATTTTTTGCGGCTGCCAGTGATATCCATAATTGATTTCTCGAAAGGCTTCCGATTTGGTAAAGAGATAAGCTGCCCACTTGTATTTTCCGCTTCTCATTCTTTTCGGAATGGCAATTGAAATAACACACTAAGTGAAACACGTCTTCATGCTTTGTGGAAAGTTACTTTACAATGTGCGACCTTTTTTACCTTGCGGTAATTCAAACACGGTACCGTCAGAAATGGTACTTGAGAATACTTTGCAAAAGTCCTATTATTTCAATCAAAATGAGATTTACATTGTGAAGTGCGATGTTGTTTGTGTCTCTGATTGGACGAACGGTTTATTTTCGCAATCGTTCACTTCCAATCTTTAAAATGTGTCGATCAGCAAGAAAAAATCTCAGCATATATGATTTAGAAACATCATATCTTGGAAAGTGCTTGAACGATCACTATTTGCGTGTTGCGATGCATCAAACAACGAACGAGTGAGCTCAGCGAACGAGTGAGTTTTTGATGCATCTCAACTCGTGAATAAAGATCGTTCGTGCGCACTTTGTGGAATATTCTCCATTAAATGCGTCGTGGGGTGATACTTTGTTACAGTGAGGTGTTATTTTGTTTTTGATTTATTGTCTGCTTGTCGAAAGTTGAAAATATTAGCTACTGAGCTACACTGTAAATTTAAGATAAAATATATTCATTTACATATGTATGGGGACAAAGTCTGCACTTCACGAAAAAAATTTTTTCAAAGTATTAAGCGGTCATCAGAAGACACAAGCTTGCAAACGTTTATTTAAGGCGTTTCCGTAAATGTCATCATACGCTCCGCAGGAAAAAGTTAAATTTACCGAGAAATATTCTAATGTAAGTGGCAGCATTGGGCTATCTATATGAGGAAAAAAGTCTTCATAAGCCGCAAACTTACTGCAGAGGTAGAGGCTCATCATGTGCCTTTGTTTATGCGGTGTTGGTGAAGACATCACTTAGATTGCAAACAAATTATAACGTTGTTTTGGTTTGCTAGGCAGGTACAGATCTGTTGGTGGGAATTGTTGTTCAACCAAGTTTCATCGTTGCACAAGTTTATGTTATAACGGGCAGATCTCCAAAACGGAAACGTTCTTTCCTTGATCCTCGTTATTCCTATATTATCATCTTTGCATCACCTACCCTCATAAGTGTAGTGCGCTTTGTAGCGATAAAACACACCTATCGTTATACAACCTTCTTTACTGCACGTAGCTTGACTCTCGTGGGTCTTGGCATGTTTGCCAACCTTCATTTTCTTGTCGATAGATTAAAGCGTACGATCAGAGTTTTTCGTGCTTCGTTTACATTTATCAACGTGCCTGTGATGATTTACTGTCGTATTTCGGTTTACTTCGTGTCCCGTCGATATGAGAATCGAATCCGATCGGAGCAAGTTTCACCGCAGGCCGCTTCCAACTTTGTAAAGCTTCGAAGACAACCAGAATTATTATACTGACCTTACTTTTGTGTTTAATACCCGTTTTAGTGTGTGCTATATTTGTTGGCATCTCATCCAACAGCAGTAAATATATTGTGACTGTAACACGTTTGAGTCGTCCTGTTGTTGTAACCACTACTTTCATTAATTCCATTTTTAACCTGTTCAAATACCACCACAGAAATAGAACATTACGACAAACATGCAAAGCGTTGCTGAAAATGAACCGTGAATTTATAACGACGATTGATAACTCTTTCTTTTCATTTAACATAGACATTTATAAGTCTTTTCCATATATACATATATATATATATATAAACCTTCTGTTAGAATAAACCTTTTTGAAACCTCATTGTGTAGTTTTTGACTACATAATAGTGTGACTTGCACGGAAAGGTGAGATGATATTTGTATCCTTCAAGTTTGCTTGAGCAACGCTCGTTTTGAAGGACAACGAAAAACCTCTCTTATCCGCTATATTTGTGAATAATTTTTGCTCGTATCTTGAACGCCCTTCCTGTTTTCTTCCATTTACCTTTTAGTCGCATGTCGAAAGTCTCAGTGATTCAGGAAACCCTTGGGGTAAATTTCTATGGGAGAGCTCCCCGCCTCCCCCATCTCTACGGGCGCCCTATCAGGCGAGATTGAGTAAACTTCAGCAAGACTCAACCGACGAGCTGTGAAACAAGCGACAATTTAGTACTCATTACAACCTTTTCAGTCTTGATTTTGTTGTTCCAGGCCTGTCGTAAAAGACTGTGAAGCCCATATTTACATTAAACAAGGACGACATCCAGTGTTGGATACGCTTCTCTCAGAGAATGAACAGTTCGTCCCGAATGATACGCAAATGGATGTAAGTGAATTATAAATTACCAGGAGGTTTATGAGCACGGGCAGCAAGTGTGAACACGAACAGAAAATTAAGCGAAATATTTGGCTACGTCTAAAGCACGGCAGAGATGCAAGCTTAGGTGCGATTAAATCGACTTGAAAAACATGGCAACCGTAGTGAGGTATCTGCGTGTCTCTGATTAACAGGGTTCACGTAATTCCTTTCAATTGTCCAACAGGCGAGAGCTCAGTCCTAAACTCTCCCAACTAGAGTTTAAGGGAAAGTGATGAAAATGTCTGTTCTGTCAGTCTTGGAATTTGGAGTTTTTCGGGAAGATTATGGGTACGTGTTTAGCAGTTCATAGTTTGACTGCCGATTGTTCTCTTTGTAGGTCAACAGCAATCGCTGCATGATCATTACAGGACCAAACATGGGAGGAAAAAGTTCTTACATAAAACAAGTACGATTCTACCTTGAAGAAAGCAGTTGTATTCTACTGTCGTTGTTTTTAAGAAAGGTTAAATCTAAGTTAATTCTCACTTTACTTCGCAGGTTGCTTTGATTGTTATTCTCTCCCAGGTCGGCTCTTTTGTACCGGCCGAAGAAGCACGGGTTGGAGTTTTAGATGCAATTTTTACCAGGTAAAAAATATTACCAAGCCAAAATTCATTTTTACGCTCGTTTGGTTTCTAGTCCTTTGTTACTTTTTGTTTCATTGCAATTACGTCATATATTGACAGGATGGGTGCCACAGATAACATTTACAAAGGACAAAGCACATTCATGGTTGAACTTCAGGTAAGTTGAAAATTTATTTTATTTTCATCTACAGTTAAGTCTGTTTACTCAAGCCGGTAACGAGATAATAAAAGATTTAAAGCGACACTTCATTATGTTGTACACAATTTGTGATTAGTTTAATTTAGCATTAAGATGCACACTGTAACAGTTCATTGACCGACTATTGCTTTCGTTGCAGGAAACGTCTGACATCATTGCCCAGGCTACTCCTAAGTCACTTGTCATTCTGGATGAGCTAGGCCGCGGTACTAGTACCCATGACGGCACGGCTATTGCCTATGCTACAGCTCACCACTTCATAAGTAAGGTTGGTGTCACTTATGGCCGAAGGAAGGCACCACCTCTCAGTGCAAAATCTGTAATTCGCAATATACCATAATCGTGTAGGACGTTCCCTTCAATCCTACCAATTTTTTTCCCACAGATAGCAAGCTTGACTCTGTTTGTAACACACTATCCGTCTCTTGCGGAGCTGGACGGATTATTCCCAAACCAAGTCACCAACAGCCACATGGCATTTATGACATCAGAAGAGCCAGGCGCCAAACACTGTGACGATGGTGGGGAAGGCGAAGACAACAATGTCATGTCTCCCGTACCGTCAGTTACGTTTCTGTACCACTTGGTGAATGGAGCGGCCGCGAGAAGCTACGGGTTAAACGTTGCTCGCCTGGCGGGAATTTCGAATGAAATCATTAACACAGCAGCCGCAAAATCACGAGAAATGGAGAATTTGATCATGTCAAGACGGTGGGTACCTTTCAGTTAGATTAGAAGGGTTGTTGGCAGACTTTACCAAAGCTGCGAAGATGTTTGTCGTATGCAAATAAACCGTGAGTTTTCTAAGGAGCAAACCTGCGATTAGAATCGAGAGGTTTCTGATCGGTTTGTTGTCACTTGATTTTATGATAGATTTGCTTCGCTCTCAGTTTATACAAATTTTAACTCAAGTACGAGCTGCTTTGACCCTTTTTAAAAGTCATTGCATTAGTTGACGGTTCAAACAACTGGCTATTGTCAGGATAGCTAAGAAATGCCCCTTGATGAATTTCACACGACCCATTACTTTTCAGTTAAAGTTATTAATCGTGAGTATTTTTTTTCTTTTAAGTATAGCGATATTTGATATCATCAGATTAATAATGTTCTTATCTTTTTTTCCTTACAGATCCATCAAAACTAGTTTTCAGGAAATTTTCTCAAAGTCGCCAACAACGCGCGAAGTTATCGAGCAGCTGAGGACTGCTTTGCAGAAGATTTCACCCGAAATCGTTTAACATTTATTTCCTCGTTTTCACGTGCAGCCAAACAATAGGATATTTAAAGAAAGATGTTTTTCATCTTGTCACAAGCGTTGGACAAAGAAAAAATTCTGAGTCCCCATGAGGAATCGTACCTCAGACCTTCGGATTCCGCGCTCCGATGCCCTACCACTGAGCCACAGAGACTCCACTTTGAGCAAGGTTCATATGACACGCGTCCAGCATACTGCTAGGATCAGAAATGTAGATAGCGTTATGTTTGTAGATAGAAATGAGAGAGATGGTAAGTAAAGAAATAAAGAAAGATTTTTTTTCGTCTTGTCACGAGCGTGGGACAAAGAAAAGATATTTGTACCCATTATCGAGACATACAGAATACACCAGACCAAGTTACCACAAAGAGCCGCATAAAACTCGTAATCAAATCATTTGATTTAAAACTGAGCACTCCATGGAAAACGAGATTTTGTAATTTTGGTCTGTCCATCCATAGCGGCAAGAATGTCTTCTTTACACAATGTAGTGCACGTGTATATCAGGAAACTTGATAAATGTTATGGTTAGGACATACACATTGGTAAACAGTGAACAGTTTTTAGACACTTGAAGAAAGTGTTCATTCTCCCCTGTAAGTTGTTATAGAATGGCTCGGCTAAATCAGATTTACTTCAAAACAGAGTCAAACTTATTAAAGTTGGCCTAAAATCTGCGAGAATATTCCAAATTTTTTGAGTTTGGCAGAGGATGAGACCTCTACAGGTTATACAATGTGATGCGCGCCAATACATCGGAACCAGTCGGAGAGGTCTATCTATGTAGTGATTTGCTTTCATTTTCCCGCCTTTCCATTGCTTGTTTTCCACATTATACAGGGCACGCCCATGAGCCATCTTTGAAAAAATAAATAAACCAAGTAATTTGTATATTGATTGAATTTCACCTGTCGGATTTTACACGAGCAACCAGGAAGCATCATCGAGTGACTGATTGAAAAGAGCTGAAGAACTTTAGAATGTGCAATATTTAATCTATTTTCAAAAGTGGATTAGGTTGTTATCAAATGCACCCCTGATTTCGTATTTTTTTGGTACTGGAACTTGAAATAATTGGGAGGGACGTATACAGCCTTGCACCGCCTGTCTTTACAAGACAACCTGTGATCTGATTTAAAAACGCCTGAGAGAAAAGACGGATTAACAACTCATTCGAGACATGACCCAAGCTTTTGTCACCGCACGGGACACCTTGTGACAATTGTTTTGAGTCACAATTTGCTTTTCCCTAATATTTCACTCGTATTTTTGAACCTTGAATAAATAGGAAAACGTAAATATTTTGAAAAATGCCAAAATAAAGGTGTGTTTTCTTGGTGAAAATAAATTGATCTTATCCTTGCTTCGACGGCGGGTTGCTCAGTTCAGGTAATTTACCTTAAATAAATAATGATTAAACATCTTTAGCCAATAGAAACTTCGCACACTTCAGATGAAATATAACTCCTGGAAATATAATATCATTAGCGTTTGCGAGCTAAGATCTTAAAAATGCTGTCCTTTCTCGTTGCTTTAGCTGTAATTACTTGGCCAGGATGTCTTGGCTCCAATAATGTGTACAATCTTAATGAACGGGACTTCGAAGGGTACATCCGGGACAAAGACATAATGCTGGTAGATTTTTACGCGCCTTGGTGAGTTGTACATGAAAACTTATTGACATTTAGAATCGTGCATTAAACGCTTGACTGCGTTCGCTAGCTTACGATATTGTTGACTGGTACAAACGAACATCTTCTTTAAAGGGCGTTTTCCCTCCCTTTATTTATCTATTCCAATTCAAATATTGTTAAAAGACAAATTAAGAGGTTTGTCATGCAAATGAGTTATTAAAAGTGCTCTCGCTTTCAATGCTGTTTCTTCATGTTTGATGAAGAATTATGCGTTTTTCACAGCCATTAGATGGGACTTAATGTATTTTCGTTCGTAATTCTAACGAAGTATAAGAAACATGTTTCTTCTCCAAGTTAATAAACAGGCGGCAGGTAGATGGTCTTTCATCACATCCTTGTTTTGAAGAGTTAGAATGACATCGTGGGCGTCAATTGCAATGTTTTAGGAACATAGAAAATTCACGACAATGTCCAGAGAGCACAAAAAAAACACAACTCTGTGAGATCTTACCTGAAAACTGTAGACTCCAAAAAAAAATCATTAACTTCAAACATAACTGTTGTTTTAGTGACATGTGTTGTTGTTATTGGAGTCATTTTATCAATTATGTCAAGCTCTTTTTCAGTCGAGTGAATAGTTTTCTTGACATTTATGAGTGGAAACCATTCAGATCAAAGCAGAATCACGGGTGAATGTGACCCCACCAAACATTTTTCTCTACCTGTCTTTTTTATTCCTTTCAATCTATGATCATGCACAGACTTGAAATGATCAGCCACCGTTTTGTTAATGGTGAAAGGAAAGATGGATTCGGCTGAGGTGTTTTACGACTTTGTCACCTCCCAATCCAGATAATTTAGTGAGGTTTTTGGGAAGCTACGTTCGTGAAACACAGTTGAATGTATGGGAATATGTAACGATAAGAAGAATTGCAGCCTCTCAAATTAATAATCATATAGTCCAAATAAGGTGGGATCGAGGATGTATACACGCTACCGAGACATGTCAATGGCACGTTTCGTTCAAGCGCGGATTTTTGTGTTGTTTTGTTTTGTGTTTTAGAGTTTAGAGGGTGGGAAGTGACCTCAAGGGTATTATTTCTCGTCAAGCAATTGTTTTATCTTAACTTCCGCAGATCATTAACTTTTCAGTAGCTTGACATTGATTTTATCTCTATCAGGTGTACGCATTGTAAAGAACTGAGTCCCGAGATTGATGCAGCCGCTGACCAACTCGCCTCAAAGAATATGTATGTGTTTGCAAAGGTGAGTTCACCGTGCTTAGTACGTATAGGGGAGGGGAGGGGGTCGTGTGCGATGTGAAATGTTGCTGCTTAAAGCGAAAATGCGGCTATGACGCATTCTAGCTTGGCACTAAATAGTTTGCCAGTTAACTTATATTTAGCTATTTATTCATTGTTTCATGCTTAAGTATATTTATTTTATTCATTTTCTTATTTATTCTCTTGAAAGGTGGACTGTGTCAACGACGGCAAACAGTTGTGTCAGCGGTTTAACATACAGGGTTATCCCACAATTAAGTTGTTCAAGTATGGTCAATACGTTGGAGATTATGTTGGACAGCGAGACAGAGGTTAGTGAGTGAAGAGAGTAGTTACTATTCACTGCGTCGATGAAGGCTAAGAGGAAACTTCTATCATCGACATTGTGACAGTGAAAATCGTGAACATATCATAAGTAATAAACCCTTGCAATATATTTTACTCTGCGCAGGCTCACTGATGCAGTATGTGGATTCGGTGGCCTCAACGTTCTCGCAACGTGCACCGCTGGTCAACAGTTTGGCTACACCTTTGGCTCAGTCAATTAACTACAGGCCTCACGCTCAATTATTAGCTTCGCACCATGCTCCTGCAATTCAGGCAGCAGCCGCGGCCGCTGCGCCGACTTTCGCCAATCAAGCAAACATGCACGCGAAGAACCCATCTCTTATGAACTCGTTTTACGGTGCGTCAGCGCATGCGCATCATCCAGCTAACCTGGCCGCTTTTCTGGGCAAGCAACAAGCGAGCCCAGACTCTTTGCAGTCGAAATTTGGTAGTTTGTCGTCACTCGACATTTATAGAGCTAAACTTAAAATGATCGCAGCCTACAAGAACTATCAGCGTCGCCTTAAAGAGTACAGAATGAAACTGACGGCAAGTAAAGCAAACGTGAATCCCAATCCGCAAGCTTTTCCGGGCGCGGTTACTCATCCGCCTCGCCCCGGTGTAAATGCATTCGCTCAGCCCCAGCCTTATCGCGGGTATTATCGACCAGAGGCCCTGGCAGCCCAGAATGTGCAGATCAACCGTGCGTATCCCCAAGCTGGATACGGTGTGAATACCATGGGTTATCCCAACCAGTTTGGTAGTCCTTACGGATATCAAGCTATGGCCAGTAGTCCGTATTACAGAAGTAAAATGGGTCACGGGAAAGAGCAGCATCTTGGGAAGCAAAGGAGACCTGCACCGCGCCCTGCTGCTGTCAGAAAACCTGCCTACAACCGTCGACCTGGTACAGCTCGAGTCAACAGCCAGGCAGCTTATTATAACAATCAACAACACCAGCGACAGCAGCAATTTAAACAAGGTTCCCGGCAGCAATACTACCGACAGCCAAAGCAACAGAGACAACAGTTCACACAGAAGTCACAACAGCAGTTTCAACAGGAGCCACAGCAAAACCAGCAGCAACAGCAATTTCAACAGGAGCCACAGCAAAACCAGCAGCAACAGCAATTTCAACAAGAGCCCCAGCAACACCAGCAAAAACAACAACAACAGCTTCAACAAGAGCCACAACAACAATTTCAGCAAGAGCCGCGAAAACAATTTCAGCAAGAGCCACAGAGAGACCAACAAACCTACAAGCAGCAGCAGGTACTTCCGCTCGGTATTAATTCTGAAACTCGGCTCTAATTTCAGGTGCCTCAAAATACATACCTCAATGAAAAAAATACATAGAATATAAGCTATAAGAAAAAGGCCCTCGAATTCAAGCGACCGTTAAAGGCTTAGGAACACCGATGTTCCGAACGATTCAATCCAAAGATTGATTTCTTTGTAACTTTCCATGTCTGTTTGATTTGCAGCAGGCTCAACCTGAGGAGAAGTTTCCTTTATCTCTCCCTGAACAGCCAAGCAGTGCGCCATCAAAACCAGACACTTCAGCTCTGAAAGATCTGAAAGCAGACATTGAGAGCGCCATCCAGGATGCCCTTAGGAATGCTGTGTCAAAAAGTGCACAGAAGGCTAAGCCCAGTGAGGAGGTACACGTTGATGGTGAAAGGGCTAAGCCCCAGGTCCCTGCAGCGTCTCCTGAACAAGTGGGATCTGGTTCTGGGGTCCAGACACAAAATACACCTCACCAGGGTAGCACTGAGGATGCTATGACTGGCGAGACCCACAGTGGTAGTGGGTCGGGTTTAAAACCTGAATCCCGGTGAAGAGCTAAACTAAGAGGCGAGAGACACCTAACGTTATTCCGAGTATGGAACAAGGATGTTTTTTTTTCTCTCTGATTTTCAGTGAAGAATTCTCTTCACCCTGAATTAATTAGTGACATTTCTTTTGGCGTATCCAGGTTCAATGTTCCTATCAAATCAATCTGCAGGTGGGAATCGTTTGAACGTGATAGTCTTCGATCCAGTGTCGTTATTTGGTCCATCGAAAAATCAATGAAATGCGTTAGAAAAGAAATATAATAATTTTATCAGTATGGAGACTTGTTGGCTCGACTGATAGCAATTCCTTGTCTTTTCATCTCTGATTAAAACATTTTTCCTTCCTCTCTCTCGTGTTGCGGAAGAAAACAGAAATAAACTATGAAGAATTAAAACGGCCACACTGCTAATTATAAATCCAATAAAATCATATTTTGTAAAAGTCGGAGTACAAATGGAAATAAAATTATTTTTTTATTAATCAGTGTTCCTTATAAATGTATTGGAAAGTTATTTAGCATATGTTTTCCAAAGAGTTTCAATGTGAATGATTCCCAATCAACCCGCTATACCCAAACATCAGTATGCATATTCTCCATACTGTTCTCTGTACACATCTTAAGAAGCTGACCAGGAGAAATTGTTCGGCAATCAAGAGCTACCCAAGTTGGTGATCATTTCCTTTATTACAGTTACCTTAATATTTTATTCAGGGGTTAACGAATAATCTTTCCAGGACTCGGCAACAGACACGAGGCGTTGCGCTGCACACGCTGACGACATCACTGTGCTTCTTAAATACTCAGATGATCACACGAAATTAAACCAGCTCAATGGGGAACCCAGTTTCGGATTGGTACAAAAATGGGAATTGTCTCCAAGATAAGGTCTCCGTGTATCCCAAGGAAAATTCGCGATATTGAGTTCTCCAGCTTGTGCAGCAAAGTCGCGTTTAATATCGATATCGAAAAGCTTGAGTATTTTTATTTGGCAAACTCGAGAAGACGAAAACAGACAAAATCCTTGCAAACAAAGTCAAATAAGAGCAGTTTTAGATCAATCAGTTGATAGATCTTTTAATTATCCGCCCATTTCACGGGATGCACATGATATGACTGTGATTTTCCATGCAACCTGGGTGACCTTTGCCCTCGTAGTACCGACATTTGATTCGTCCATTGCACTGACTTGTGTTTGAGTTTATTTTAACCCAAATAATTTTATGTGTATCACAGTGTGAGAAACCCACCCTCGACGACTGCTTTTTTCTTGACACTGAGTTGATTTTTACTATCACTAAGATAAACAAATTCTACATTACCTGAACAGGTCACTTGTTTGATAATCAAATCACCGACAGGTTGAAATTTAATTCAACAGTTAAGCAAAACTACACACCTGTTGTAGGCAATCACCGTGAGAGAAACGATATACAGTAAACAGATATAAGACATACACGCAACGTGATAGTCAATAGAACAAGAACGTGAAGTAGAAAACATTTCTGGCCTGATTTTATGATGGTAAATCAGTGAAAAATTTGCAAAACCAGATCTTTGGTGAAATAATACCGGTAATTTTGTGGGTGATACCACATTGATCCCATTACTTACACTTCGAATAACGTGATGCAATACAAAAACTACTCATTGATTGGCGGAGGCGACAACATTAACCAATCAGAGTGCTCGAATATGACATATGAAGGGTAGAATGTGGAGTGCCTTAAATAAATATTTTCGATTTTCTCGTAGATCGCACCCGAATTCCTCAAACAAGTGAAAAATGATTACGGCTATACTTTCCATAGCCTTGTCCCTTGTAGGGACAATTTTTGGCGCCCCAGCCGATCCAGTCTTCAAATTGACTGACAACGATTTTGACCATTTTTTGAAAGACAAAGAGACAATGTTGGTAGACTTTTATGCACCTTGGTAAGTTTTGATTTTTATTTTTTGGTCCGTGCTCACAACATAACTGAAAAACGAAGAAGTAGTAAACAAAGAATTTCATGGGCAAATTTTAGAAAGACATAATCAGTGGTTGTTTCCTAAGTACACGGCTCAAACCAGAGCGTCTATTTTAAGACAAACGGGTGATAAAGAATCAAGTTGTTTATAAGTTTACGGATGAGTTGTACGACAGGTAGGACATTTATATATGTCACAAAAGTTTTCGTCTGGCTTATGATTTATTTTTCCTCGGTAAGAGTTAATCTTACTTGTCATTGGTGTTTCTAATACATATTTTGACGAACTGTTTTAACATTTTATTGCACTCAAAACATTTCCATTTTACTTCTTTAAAAGAAAATCGAATGAATTCCGAATTCTGTCTGTAACAAAGTCACTCCTTGACGCCGTGTTCTTCGCCACTACCAATAAGAAATTATTCTAACCAAATTAGCTTGTATCTTAAGTGATAACTCAGTCCCCTCCCGACCTTTAACGTTTCTTGTTCAAAAAGGGATAGTGCCATTAATACAAGGAACCAGTAAAAACAAATGACAATGTAATCCACCCCTCCCCCTCAGGTGCAGCGACTGTGCCAGATTAAAGCCTGAGTTCGACAAAGCCGCGAAGGATTTTGCTCAGAAGGGAAAATTTGTTTTCGCTAAGGTTTGTATTGTTACTTTACTTAGAGCTATAGAAATCTAGTGCAAGGCCCCTACAGCCATGCAGTGCAGAGATGAAGAAGGGCATGAGAGTGGGCGAGTACTCCTTCCAGACCACTGCTCCATCTTCATAGACAGCTTAGCTCTCCATAGAACTTAAGATTATAGCTTTCCCCCTCATCAAAAGCCTATTCAACACGATTTCTCAAGAGATATTGTGATACGAGTACCATATTTGCCTGATACGAAAGATAGAACTCAGGCCTCCTAAAGAATCGATTACTGTTCTGAACAGATTGATTGCTTCGGCGAGGGAAGAAGCATCTGCGAAAACAGATTCAATGTACACAGCTGGCCTCAATTGAAAGTTTTCCGCCGAGGGCAATATGCGGGAGAATACAGCGGAAACCAAGACAAAGGTAGGTCTGCAAGGCGTGTTAATGGTGCCCGAGTGTCTTCGTTACTCATGTTCTCTTAATTAGTCAGCGGTGATGCTAATCATTATATTTTAATCAAGATAGGTATATCGTACTTATAAGAGATATTTCAAAAGATCTACTTCACTCTTTGATTAAATTTTCCTTTTCTTTTCCAGCTTCTATTGAAAGATTTGTGAGCAGCCTTATTAAACAAAAAGTGCCAGATAATATTGGTCAGGACCAACCCCAGGAAAACCCGTCGGCAATCAAAGAGAACCCGTATGGCCCCTGGTACCAAAACGGATGGACTTATACGGCAGTGAGTCCTGGAAATGTCCCTTATCAGAACCCACCCGGCTGGAAAAGAGGATAAGGCTGAAAATATTCCCAAAAGAAATTATCACTTAACATAGACCCGCAGCAATTTATGAGAGCCTAATGATCAATGGCTACAGCAGTTCACTCATGGAAAAGAGGTCTAGTTTCCGTGCTAAACCATATTATTTCAATCATATTATACGCAGTCGCTGAACTTGTAAAAATGTTGCATTTTGAAGCGTGCTAGTAATGAGAAAATTATATGCTTTTTGTAAAAATTAATCGAGGGAAGATATTCCTTCCTCTTAAGCCTGTTTATCTACTTTCGAACAATTTATTCCAACACTAGCATTACTTTAAAGTGAAAGTATTTCAAATGAATTTCTCTGGAATGAAAAATTTCAACTTGTCAAAAAATGTGCTATGTTTGTTTTGTTTAATTAAACGCCAACTTAAGAGTTTTTTATCAGATTTGAAATGGCCCCTGATATTGAGGCATCAAGAACACTTACACTTAGTCGTTACAAAATGGAGGTTTGAACGTGTGAAAATTAATTTTTTTCTTCTGTCTAAATCTGCCATAAATCTGCCATAAATAGAGCAGCAGAAAAACTAGTGGTAACGGAGCTGTAGAAAAATTTGGTGTTGATTTACTGAAAAGCAGACAATTTACAGAGTAGAGACTATTCTTGCAAGGAGTGAAAGCAACTAAAATAGACAAGAATCCAGATGAAGCAGATTCTAATCTCATTTCAGATCTGGAAGACATGTTAGGTTTCACAACTAATAAATTTGTTTCCATGAAGATCACATTCGACTGAACCAGAACAAATTTATCATTTTTAACGTGGAGCACTCTACAACTTGAGTCAAACCAATTTGTAGGTCTTCCTGACACCCTAAGACCTAAAGTGCTTCGGTAAATCAGAGATGAATGTGAATCCAGGGATTGATGACCTGCGCATCTTTCACGGCGTTAGGGCGTACGGCCGCGCACAGAGTTTTAACTTCAACAGACAATTAAGACAGGCAGAGATTTTGCGTTTAGCTGATGACAATAGGGAGGGGACTGAGTTAACACTTAAGACACAAGCTAATTTGGTTAGAATAATTTCTTATTAGTAGTAGATAATAGAGGATTATTATCGCCACGTTGGAATTTCCCGAGGACGGTGAAAATGGCGGGAAATATCACTGCCGAAATTGAGGCTTGTTTGATAACAAAAATTTACAGCCAAGAGCAAAAACTCAGAAAATTTAATATACTCTGTGCAATTTCAAGCCATCAGAAAACATAGCGCAAAATCTAAACGAACATTTAAACACAATGTCTTAAGTGAAAAATTATGTTTAATCTGGTTTGAGCAAACAAGACTACAAAACAGCCCCATAACTAGTTGACTGGAAGTTCTACCTCCAGTTCAAATAAGACGATTTTTATAAAAGTTATATTTTCAATGCACAATATTTCGACGTACCAGGAAAACGTGTAGTATTCCTGTAACATAGCCTCCCTAGTTCTAAATTTATCTTATTCTAAGCAAATTTAATTTATTTGGGTTCTAATCACAAATATGCATTCTTTCAATGCAAAAATAGAAAACCAACAAACGAAAAAAGGTAGTCTGTAAAAGCTTGTTGTGTCCGCAGGTCCAGTCTGAGATGGAAAAGTAAAACAGAACGATGAAAAATTAATTGGATAATGATAAGAGGAATAAGAAATATGATGAGTGCAATTCCCAAACCAAACTTTGAAGCGAGACTGTGAAAAATACTTTTTAGGTTTAATAGTTACATGTAAAGAGGTTCGGTTTTCCCCCTTTCGGCATTCGCTTTTCAGTTTTTCATACCACAGAAAAGCAGTTTCTAGTTTTTCCTACTCACTTGTCTAAATAAATGCCAACCACTATTTCATGCCCGTTTAGATCATAGCCCTCGATGCATTTTCGAATTTGAACCATTTTTATGCCGGTTTTCCGTTTCCTGTTAGACTAGGAAGCCTCTCAAAATATAAGTTGGTGGTAATTGAGCAACCGATTTAGATTTATTAACGTCCCGAGAAAAAATTCTAGAACAATTGTTTCAGTACTGGCCTTACCAAGTTTCATTAGACATCCAAGATCGTCACTCTAATGGCGATAATCTGACCATCACTACACCACTCGGGTTTACAATGGCATGGAAGCTTCCCATGAATGTCCCAAGTTCCTTGTGTTCAAACAGGTCACGTGCCTTAGCTTTCTCAGCACTTAACCCAACCTGAAGGGAAAAAAAAACATAATTACTTCAGTCTATTAAATAATATGTTTTTATCTTTGATAACCTTCAACTTTTTGGGGACATTTTGTAAAGCAACATCATTAATACAATTACTCTATGTTACTAACCAATTTAAAACTTGCTTCCATAGTTTCAGGGGTAGACTCTGAGTGTGAAAATAACACCACAGCAACTGATCCATCAGACAAGGGCCGTGCCCAGATCTCTTGATTTCCATCCTGAAATAGCAAACAATAACATGGCATCTAAACCCAGTATGCATAATCTCCATACAGTCCTCAATACATTTCCTGGGGAGCTGACAAAGAGAATTTGTTTAACAATCAAGAGCTTCTTTAGTTGGCGATAATTCTATATAGTCTTGTGACTTTAATGTATGATTCAGGGGTGATATTTTAAAGAGAAATTAGACACTAGTCACTCTTAAGGGTTAACGAAAAACATACAATAAAGCATTCAATGAGCCCAAATTCATAAGATTGTTTGAGAGAATGATCAGCATGAGATCATACCAGCATGTCAGCAACTCATAACTAATACCCTAAAGAGCTGAAGATATGAATTCCTTACCAGCAGAACTCTCCTTCCCATTCTCCCCAGTTTGTCCTGATTGACAGCTATCACATCACTGAAAAATAAACAAGAATGGGTTTCTTCAAGTAACTGTTTGACTGACTGATTGATGGCTGGCCCTGTTTTGAGGTTGGCAAATACATTTAACCATTAAACTATTACCTCTCAAGAAAACATTTTCCAAATTTTAGCAGTTTTAGCTGCAATTTTATTAACTGATCAGAAAAACTCTTAGCTCCCAAATTATACATAAATTATTCTGAATACAGAGTTAATTAAGAAGTCTCCAATTTACCCATTTTGAAGGATTTCTTTTGCCCATGGTGCAATGTTACGAAGATCAGTGGACATAATTAGGGGCTGAAAAAAGTCAAATCACATTGATTCAGTTCACAACCACAGTTGATAGCCTTGAGATCATCTGATTTTAAACTATGAATACAGTAGAAACCAATTAACTCAAACTCCCTGCTAACTCCAACAAAATCTGATGGATTTGAGACCATTTTTGAATCATTTACTGAAGCTAACTTGAACTTAGTTGACTCAAACTCCCTCTTAACTCAGACTAATTTTAATTTTCCCTAGTTCCAATTTACCATGATAACTCAAACTTAAGTAAAAAGGTCATTAAAATGTCTGAACATGGCTGGTTGACACATCCAGTATCTAGATTACATTCAACTTGACTTCCCAGACTAAACAGTCATATCAAAAAGTTCATTTAAAACAAACTGAATGTGCCAAAATGACTATTGATTGTAAAAGAATGGTAAAACCATGATTCCTTATTAATCATTAACAGGATAATTCAAATTCAAATTTCATCCTGATTAACTAGAGCCCCAGAGTAACTTGCCTTATTTTTCATTTCCCTTAGGAGTTTGAGTTAGTGTGGTTCTATTGTATTTGTGATGTATTTGTGACAAAGCTAATAATAAACTTTAATAATAATTAATAAAACTTTAATGAACTTTAATATATTTTAGTGACAAAGCATCGTATAAAATATTTCAACTTCTTCCCTTACTTATTCTGTCCTTGTGTAAGAGCTATCAAAATCACTGTTTGCCTAATTGTTCAAGTAAAATACACTATTCATCTATATAAAAGATACTTACAGATGCCATAACAGACCACAGAGCAAACTGTGCCTTTGACTGTTCAAAACTTAAACTGAAATCACCAATAATGAGCTGAAATAGAACAACATACATTCAAATAAATTCAGATTTTCAATAATCCTGATATGAATCTAAAATCAATAACAGGATCAATTTACAAATCAAGCTCAACTACACCTGGGATAGGCATAAGCATAACCTTGAACACTCTGCATCCAGAGACATTTTTTTTTTATCTCAATAGCTTTTAGCTACTCCTCATACACCAGAAGATGAGTGAGATATCAGGATTAACTGTCCCCCTAATGTGGCTGTGAGGAATCAGAAACTCCTTAAAATCATTTTTTCCCTTTTATTTTTCTTTTTTCAGTGTAGCTGTGGTAATTAAATCATTTTATTTTCTTCACCATATCAGGGTCATTCCAGTTTCCTGGTCCTGCAACTGGAATCATTTCATCTTGATGGTCACCATACCACTTAACAATTGATGTAACACTTTGCCAAGAATCCTGTAGAAAAATAATTAGGAACAAGATTAACATAAGTGTATTAGTATGTGAACTATTTCAGTTTATATGCTTTGTTTATAAACACAGTACCTGTATGTCATCGTAGTTCCTCCACAAATTACAGTTTTCAGCTATCCATGTGTAGTTAGGCTGTAAAATTAACACTGCATGTCATTTAATAGTCACATATAGCTTACATTACCAGTCTATTACTTTTAATTATTGTTTATATTCCTCTGAGGCATGGAAGTCAACATTGTGCACCAAGAAAAATATCATAACAATGAAGTCTATCCTCACTGTTTTCTTTGCACTTTGATAGGCAGGCCAGCTGCAGGAAAATACTATTGGTCTGCCTGTGTTGTTAAGGGCTTTAGTAACCATTGGGTAACCTGTATCCATTTTGTCAGGGTCACTATAGCAACCATCCAGCTTTAGGTAATCGACTCCCCAGCCTGCAAATGTCTGAAAAGGAATCACTGAGTAAATCAAAGGGAATATAAACCAGACAAAGGTTATTACAAATTCATCTATAAAATTGTATTTTGAAAAATATATACAGAGTCCTTAAGGGTTAAAAATATTCTACACAGCACTTTAACCCTTTACACTCTAATATCAGTATGCATATTCTCCATACTGTTCTCTATACATTTCCAAATGTGCTGGCAAGGAGAATTTGTTTAACAATCAGTTGCTTCTTTAGTTAGTGATCATTTGCTTTATTCTCATAACTTGAGTGTTTGATGCAAGGATGATGTTGTGGAGAGAAATTTGGATGCTAGTCACTCTTAAGGGTTAAAGGATAAAGAAAAAAAATATAGATGCAATGATCACTTGAAGTGTGAACAGACAAAAGTAAGGTCACCTCTCACTAGTACTGTTCTGAAGCTAAAATAACTTATTCGTAGCAACAAACAACACAACAGTTAACTTACATCCATGTCTTGTTGAATGTGATCAATGGTTCCTGGATATCCTGCACAAGTTTTTGTTCCATAATCTGAAGAATTGTACAAAAAAAAATGTTTTGACCAATTGTAAAGTTTGTGAAGTGAATAAGGAACAAATTATATATAATATCTTTACAGATGGTCTTCAATTCTTTAACTCCCTGAAGTGATCAACATGTTACTTTCTCCCAATAATATCCATACATTACCCAACAAACAGGTAATAAGAAGACTCAAACTTATCAGGCGATAGTTGTTATCTTGATCTAACACCAAATTCTTGTACCTAGCATTGAAGTGTGTTCAAGGCAGCAAGAGAGAGGGGAAGGGAAGGGGGGGTTAACAATCAGATCTTGGGAGTTAAAATGTTAATTGCTACCTGCATATATTCCCAGCTTTAATCCTTTAGAATGAATCTAAAATTAAAATACAAACAATTTTAGAGAAAAGTTGGTCTATCTCTTTTAAAACTAAGAGAAAAACACAACAAGAAAGCAACAATCCCACCAAATTTGAATTTTTAACGACCTTAAAAGCACTATAACAAACTTACAAAGTCAGCAAGAGCTTTCATTCCACTTGGAAATCTGCTAGGATCAGGTTGAAGCTGGCCATCAGCCGTTCGGTTGTGAGACATCCAACAATCCTACAAATCAAAGAGACTTTCATGAAGTGTCAACAAATTTTGACTTAATCCTTCTAATGTCATCACTGATAAACCACCTAAGTGCTAAACACGACAGAAAACTAGAAAGTAAAGCAATGTGAATGTAAAATCATATTTGTTAAAGATATGTTAACTTTGTGAATTGAAATCTCTCCACAGCAAGATCACAACTCTTTACCCTCTAATCATTCTGAGTTACCTGTAATAATTATTAGAGAACACTTCCTCCCAATACATTAGAACCAACAAAATAATTGGTCCAAATAGTCTTTCCTTGCAATCAGATCTCTGTAATTTTCCAAGTAAACCAAGCAACAAATGATGATAAATTTAAGCCAAAAATTATCAAACCTTACATCAATAGATACATATTTATAGCCAACATCCTTAAAACCATCCTCAGCCATGCGAGTTGCCATATCCATGAATAATTTTTCACTGAAAAACAAACACTGAAAACACTGAAAACAGTAAAAGCAACAAAAAAATTTTAAACCATACCAAACTTCTCCATATTATAGATCAGCAAGGGTTTCACATAAAAAATATTGCTGGTTAACCCCCACCAATAAGACTTTCCATTGCCATCTGTTTAGCAGCTGCCATCAGACTCTCATGTTTGAGTTTTGCCCTACAGCACAGCTGCCTATTGCATTATCAGTAGCCACTTACCGAAAAATTTATGGACACCCCACTCAAAGGTAGTCAAAACTAGATAAAATTAAAGGAAAAAAACTAACCCATCCTTTGTTTTTAAGGACTGTTAATAAATGTAAACCAACAAATCAAGCAGTTACCCAATGCAGTTGTCTGGGTCATTTTTGCAGTCTGTGTTACAACGGAATCTCTCCCAATCCATCCATCCCACTATAAAAGGAAAGAAATTCAGCTTTATTAATAAAAAGGGTGTGGGCCAATAGAATGCATGTGATCCCTTCTCTGCCAGGTAAAAGTGATCATTTATATCTATAGCAATGGTCACAAACAACCTTATAAGCCCCCCTAGGGGTAGGACCTCTCATGGGAAAATCCTGTCTAAATCCCTGATAAATCTCTTATGCCCTCTATATGGTGGAAAACGTCACCTTGTCCCCAGAAAACTCCGGGAGAATTTATTAATTATTTTGAGCTTCATCTTGTCTGTCAACACCTGATAAGGTAAACACCTCTCCTGCAAAGAGTAACTCTTCTTTGACCGAGTTCCCTGCTACTGAAATTTAGCCATTTTGCTGAACACTTACCTAATCTTTTAAGCAAACAACTTCATGTAAATGTGGAAAAGATTTCCGTACAACCCCATACTATTTTTGAACAAAGCCGTTGTCCAAAAGGCAATCTGCTCAATAAAGTATAGGGCTTTTCGGAAATCTTGCCCAGCTTTCAGTTGACTTCTAAATGAAGTTCAACAACTAAATTTGGTAACAAAACAACAAAGAAACTTTAGGGGAAAGAAATCAGCTAGCCTCATGGTGCGATAGAAGAAGACGAGAGATTTTAGTCGAGGACACTTAACTAGCTGACTACAAGTCAGTGATCAGCTGAGTATCATGTGATATAGAACCAAAACTGATCTGTAAGACTCTGCCGAAAGTAGCCAAAAATTATCATATCAGCAACTCACTTGGTGGCGTTAAGGCTAGGCCATTGTTAAGAGACTCTGCAAAGAAGTTTTCCTGCCATGATGCCATATAAACAATCATAGAGAGCAAGCAAGACAATCTGAGCGCCATTTTGCTCCTCTCACATCGGAAGGTCACGCAATCAGATTAACGCAATACTGGTCATCACGCCTGACTGGTCATATAACAACAACTATAGGTGACCAAATAAATTCAGCCAATGTAACATATTTTCAATGAATAAATCGTATATGACTCTAGAGGCAGATCGTTTTCGCGTGACGTCGCTGAGAGAGGGGGGCATTGGATTTTTGGTTTTGCGGTTTTGGCCATTTTTAGATCTGTTTTTCGGTTTTTGTACCCAAAAACTTCGGTTTTTCGGTTTTGGTGTTCATTGCGGTTGGCGGATATTCCGTTTTTTAGCATTTGGTTTTCGGTTTCCGCGAAAAATACTGACGGGTTTTCAGATTTGATATCCGATACGGTTTCCGGTTTTTCCCTATTTGACCTATTTGGGTTCCCGTTTCTCTTCGATCTGAGCGGCAATTACGCGCCTCCACTGATCTCGAATAGCCGCTAAAGGCAAATGTTATGGAGAGGAATGCATGACAAACCAATTGAAATATCGCAGGGATCCCTAGGTAGCCTGCGCGCAACAGTATCCTCCCCCTCCCCAAAAGTAGGGGGGGAGGGTACGGCCACACGTGGGGTACGGCTAAGCACGGAACATTGCCAGAGTTTCGTCTTTATCAACGCCGCCTCGAAGTTTGTGGCCAAGTTACAGGCCACATGTGACTGATTGAATCAACATTTCAATAGAATCTCCAAACTTTCAGGTCTTAGTTCGCAAATGGAAATGTTAGATTAGGAGTTCGCAGAGATCACGCTCGAGGTCTTCGAGAGAGCAGCTGTTGATTTAAGCAGATACTAGAAGATACGAATGCCAAGTCCATGGCATTCATAAATCCTGTAATGAAATTATTGTTGTTTACTCTGTATACTCCACTTGTCACCACTGTATCGGATCGATCAGAGTTTTAATAACTTGGATGTGAAAATGCATCGGTTTTGACAGTTTTGCATGCGGTTTTCGGTTTTGATCGAATCTTTTTTCGGTTTTTCGGTTTTGTATGATTTTTCCAACGGTTTTGCGCTTTCTAATAGGCCCCAATGCCCCCCTCCTGAGGCATAGATCACATGAATCAAACCAAACCGTAATGAAAAATGCTCTTAGGTGTTTTCAAGAGGACTTTCAAAGTTGCCGGCTGATTTAGCGACTTTTTTGGCAACTGCAACATTCATCTCCTTCTTTTTCCATTCATCGTTGATTTCGTTTTCCTAGAATAAATTTGAAAGTTTTTTTTCTTGAGCCTTGAGGATATAATTGTAACGCCAGCCATGATTGTCATTTTGCTGAATTCACTAAGACTCCTTTTGTAGTCAACATACTCCTGATCAGTTATAATCTCTTGGTTGTAACGATCGCATGTGATTCAGTTGTCGTGACAAAAATTTCTGAACGGTCTGAAAAACTACTGGAACAACACTTTTTCAGATGTTCATTATGGAATTTGGACACGTTGAGTGAGGGTCTCCTGGAAATGCAAGACCTGCATTTTTTGTTTGTTGTTGTTTTTTTTTCAATTACGTTCATTGTGCAGGGAGTGTTGTTCTGTCGAGCTAGCTGCGTTAGAAGATTACCCTGCTTGGCTGGGAGTTCATCGTGAGCTCCTTAACGATGACTACAGCCGGTAGCTCTTTCCCGGGTCTTGTTGAGTCTAGTGTCCACACCATGTCAGATTCATCAGCCTTTTGCAGCTCGCTATACGGACGTAACTAAGAAAGAGGGTATGTTCCTAGCTAGCATTGCTTAACATTGGTTTAAAAGGCTCAGTTAAATGGCATAACAGCCGCTCGGTAACTCAGCCAGAGTGATTCGAGGTTACGCGAGTAAACGTAGTGTGTGGGTGGATAGACAGAGACAAGACAGGCGTTGCAATAATGGCTATTTCGCTACAATGAACAGTGTAATAGGCCTTCGTTTTATTTTCATATTTTTCTTCCTTCACCAGCTAGGATATCGTTCCACTTCAATGGAACTACGGCTTCCAGTAATTGAAATCAATAACTGAATGGACTTCACTCATAAATACAAGTCTATTTTCCTATGTCTGTTTTCTAAATGTGTCTATCTATGTATCTTAGTACAGGAGTTACAAAATAAATATCAACACCGCCTGGATATCAAATTTATACCTAAGTTTTGTATCTAAGTTTTATATTCTTACTCTATATCAAAATAGTTTTGTAGCAATTTTAGCTTTTAGATATGGACACACAACGGAAATTTACACTAATTACAAATCTTAACCCTAAATTAATAATAAAAAAATTATACATTAAAAGAAGAAACAAATCGATACGTATTGTAAGAAAAGGATTCTAGGTGCACAATTGTTTCGCTCAATGTATATAATTCCGAGATCGAACGCAATTACAGCATATTGAACTTAATTCCACGGGAATCCTAACAATCTTCCCTGTTTAAATAGTGTCCATTAAAATCATCCACATATTCTATTTCCCACTTCCACAAAATTGACCGATCCGATTAAAAGAAACGAGCAAAAACTCCATATAAATTATTTGTCATCTGCGCTTGCCTTGGTTGTAAGCACTGATTGACACAGTTTATTGTGACTACTGCGAAGCCGCAGTAGATACTTTGCTATCATCTAAGTTCACGAACGTAGAAATAAGTAACAACAGAATGACATCAGAACAAATCAAAATCCATTTAGGGGTCTTTCGGAACAATTCGCTTCACAAACGTTTGACAATTACTGTTTCAGTTGGAATCATGGTTGGTTTCCTTTAGACTGATGTGACTGCTCTATTTTAGAGACCCCGCTAATAAACATGACTTGGTCGTGCGTGTTAATCAGTGTTGCACTTTACGCTGGTCATTTGGATAGGTCTTTGAAAGTCTCACTAATTGGTTCACTACACTGTCTTCCTAAACTCTGAGAGACCGTTTTCAAAAATTACTGAGGTTTTCACAAAACCTGTCATAAATACAGGGTTCGGCCTGTCAATATTTACGTTTAAAAATAAATACAAAGTTAGACATTTCACCATGACCTGTAGGTATACCCTACACTACATTAAAAACTACTGCTGACCCAATCTTATAACTCATAATGTATAGGAGACAATTTGACCATCACTACCCCACTGGGATTAACTTTGGCCCTGAAGCTTTTCTTGAATATGCCCAGGTCCTTGTGTGCAAAAAGATCCCGTGCCTTGGCCATGATGGTAGGCACACCAACCTAAAAGAAACAATAATAACAATATAATTAAGCTAGAGAGGAGAATAAGTATGATAAAACATCTGTAACTTTGTGTCTTTCTTAAAGTGATCACTTGTTTCTGAAACTAAAAAATCATTTTGTTATCTATGATTCTATGCTGAATACGAGCAGTCCCTTGTTTTAGGCAAAATCCGTCACTGTTTGGTTGGTGAGTCAATTTCCATGAAAATTCGCCGGCTCACATTTATACTACTGAGTGGATAGAGGCGCTGTAGGTAAGTACAATTTCACTGCCAAAGAAAACTAAAACACCCAGTTCGGAAAGTATATATCACTAAAAGATGTTTCCTGCTTAGAGCAAAAAGTAATTATCACAATGATTTGCCAAACTCTACTGAAATAGTAAAGCCTCAAAACTGTCAAAGTCTCCATGTCAGAAATTTCCCATTTTAGCGGTACCTCGTGGAAGTAGGCCTCGATATGAATAGGCTGGTCTGTTCTGCGACTAGACAAAACAACAGCAACAGATCCATCATGCAGCTGACGACACCACACCTCGGTAAAACTCCTGGGGGACTAATCAATAAAACAAACGCAGATTCGGTCAGGAATGAGTTCCTAGCGATAGGAATATAACCAATGGAGAAAATACTGGTATGGCGAACTTTTTAAGTGAATGTCAAAAGTAGCCAAAGATTACATTCGTTTTGCTTCACCATATAGTGCTGCAAATGCCGCACACTAGCGTCTAAAATCAAACACTGATTGTCAAGAAACGGGCACTAGTGTCTAAAAACGGACATAGTGTCTAAAGTCAGACACTAGTTTCTAAAATCGGCCACTTGTTTCTGAAATCTGGTCAATGGTGTCTTAAATCCAACACTATTATCTAAAATCGGACACTAGTGCGTAAAACCAAACAGTTGTGTCTAAAAACAAAAACTTATGTTCAAAAATTGGACATTTGGGTCTAAAATAGGACATTAGCCTCTAAAATTGGACGCTAGAGAATAAAATCTGAAACTGGCAACTAAACTCAGACGCTAGTGTCTACCATTGAACACTAGTGTCTTAAATCAGACCATAGTGTCTAAAATTGGACGCTGGTGTCTAAAATGAGACACTGGTGTCTAAAATAAGACACTGGTGTCTAAAATCAGACACTTGTGTCTAAAATTGGACACTTGTATCTAGAATGCAGAAAATCATCAAAATCTAAATCTAAAATTGTTAACATAAAAATGTTCTTGGCTGCACTTGGATTCTCACCTGAGACACTCGCCGCCCCATCTTTGCCAGTTTGTCCTGATTCACATCTATCACCTCCCTGACAAAAACAAAAGGAAAGAGATTGATAGTTAAATAAAAGGAAAATCCACTGAAATTTGCCTAAGAGCAGGAAACTGGGGAGCAGCAATGATGAAGTGGTTGGAATGCTCGTTTCTTACTGCTGAGGCCTGGGTTCATTTCTCAAACCTGACATCACAGATGGTTTAAGTTTGCTGTTAATTCTTGTTATTGCTCTGAGAGTTTTTTTCTAGGGTTCTCAGCTTTTCCTCCAATTCAACAAGGAGCATTGGACAAAAGGTCACTTAAGGAAGTCTCGTTTTTAACTTCCAATTTCACTATTTTATACCCATTATAATTCAATTGTTTCTTCATTTAAAAATTTTAAACCAACTGAACTTCTTACTTATTCAATAATATTTCCCTGGCCCATGGAGCAATATCACGAAGATCATTTGACATCATGAGTGGCTATAATGACAAAAAAAATTACATGAAATAATGAAATGAATGACCAATAATCTTATATGTCTCTAAACAACATGTAAGATATTTACCATGATCACATCAAAGATCAAAGGACAGTTACTAAATATTGTGACAAAAC